GGGAAATATTGTGTTTACCTGGCAAGACCTCTACCACACTTGCCCTGGCAGCGAATCGTACTCCAGACACTAGTATATTTCGGATATTTCCTGCTTTGACTCAATCATTGACTGACTTATATGTATTTGTTAAGCAAGAAGATGCAAGTCGAACCGGAAAAAGCCCAGGCGTGCAATGTGTGTGTCTGATGTATGCTTTCATACATTGTCATATAAGAATTCTAGCGGCTTTTTAGTTGAAAAGTACAGGGTGGTCAAAAATTACCATTACGCTATTTTCCTCATATCATTGTCATTTTAAAGAATAACTCCCTGATATTTTACACATTTTACATCATTCAATTGTCTATTTCATGACAATCAGACTGATAGTCACAATATTACAGCACTTTAAAGAACATGCTCCAATGGCCACTATTGCGGTGTTGGCAAACCTGCACACGTCGTCCAAAATGTTCCTACCTGACTTAGAGATAAGATAGAGTGTATTATATTATTGTGTATTATATGAGAATTGCAGACCTCATCCGTGTCATCCAGGCCATACCTGCTAAGGAATGCCAAACCTGAATGCCAAACCTGAAGCATGTTGTTTAAAGTGCTGTACAGCATTACATAACATTGTGACTATCCGTCTGATGGTCATGGAATATGGTAGGGTCGTAGGAGATTGAATGATGTACAAATGTGTCAAATATCAGTGGGCAACTCTTTTAAATGAAAAAGATATGAGGAAAATGGAGGATTTCTGTTTTTTGACCACCCTGTAAGAGAAATATCCCCGGGGAAATATCAAAGTAACATACACCAAAAACTCTAGTCTAGAGGTTGTTGTTCAGGGGTCTTAACACACATCTGTCTTATCTCTAGGTTTCATAACCTACAATGCCATTACAAGATTGCATTTTGACAGGTTCAGCAATTAGTGGAAGGAGATAAGTGTTTGAAGTGGTACATTTAGAAACCTTTTCATTTCATAGTTATGATGTTTTATTGTTATGATGATGAGAATTGCTTAACACTGGCAAAATGTATATGTTTTGAGATAAGAAAACAATCAAGATGAACATATATCGTCAAACACGGATTACATTTATTGCAAGTTAAAAACTTAAATACATGTGATCCAAATGGGTCCCTCACTTATATCCTAATTCATGGTTAGATTATTTCTTAACTTTAGCATTTTTTGTAAAAGTGAAGACCATTGCTTATCAACGCTTATTAATAGATCAAAAACCAAAATACACCAACATATGGGCCTGAATCTCTGCAATAAATCGTATTGGTACATAAAAACTAAAAATACGTTGTTTAGTGGCGGATAGTGTTCTGATATACATGTGTGGGTTATATTTCTTCGCACCTAAGGGTAATTGGAAAGGTATCCCAGATCTTTTTTAGGATGTTGAATCCACTAGAGCTGCCCGCGGTGTGATTATCTCCAAACATATACGTACTAGTAAGTGCTTGCAATTTCAGGTTGGTCGGATATTATAATATGGTACTATGTTTTCTATGGCAAACTTACGTTTTATACACTTCGTAATAGGTGATTCTGGTTCTGTCTTTCCCTGAATGATGAGGCCATCGACTACCCACACTACCCCTGACTTGCCAAAAATGCCATTTCGTTGAGCTGTGCCATAGACTGTGACATATATTGGTACTGTGTCTTAGAATGTGATATACTTTGGGGCTGTACTATAGACTTTTCATATCTCGGGAAGACATATATTGGCACTGTGTCTGAGATTGTAATATACTTTGGGGCTGTACCATATACTGTGACATATATTGGTGCTCATAGAATATAAAGTTCTTGGGGCTGTGACTTAATTTGACATATCTCGCGACTATGCCAAGGACTGTTACATATATTGGCACTGTGTCTTAGATTGTGATATAAGTTGTACTTTGAGGCTGTACAATAGACTGTGATATATATCGGTGTCCATAGAGTATGACATAAATTGGGACTGTGACTTAAACTTTGACATATCTCGGAACTATACCAAGGACTGTTACATATATTGGCACTGTGTCTTAAACTTTGACATATCTCGGGACTATACCAAGGACTGTTACATATATTGGCACTGTGTCTTAAACTTTGACATATCTCGGGACTATACTAAGGACTGTTACATATATTGGCACTGTGTCTTAGATTGTGATATACTGTACTTTGAGGCTGTACAATAGACTGTGATATATATCGGTGTCCATAGAGTATGACATAAATTGGGACTGTGACTTAAACTTTGACATATCTCGGGACTATACCAAGGACTGTTACATATATTGGCACTGTGTCTTAAACTTTGACATATCTCGGGACTATACCAAGGACTGTTACATATATTGGCACTGTGTCTTAAACTTTGACATATCTCGGGACTATACCAAGGACTGTTACATATATTGGCACTGTGTCTTAGATTGTGATATACTGTACTTTGAGGCTGTACAATAGACTGTGATATATATTGGTGTCCATAGAGTATGACATAAATTGGGACTGTGACTTAAACTTTGACATATATCTCGCGACTTTGCCAAGGACTGTTACATATATTGGCACTGTGTCTTAGATTGTGATATACTTTGAGGCTGTACAATAGACTGTGATATATATTGGTGTCAATAAATTGGAGCTGTGCAGTAGAGTGTGACATATCGATGCTGTGAATTGGAGCGTGACATACCTTGGTATTATACCACAGAATATGAGATATCTTGAAACAGTGCCATAGACTGTGACTACAGTGACATTTATTAGTGCTGAGTCTTAAACTGTGACATATTCTGAAGCTGAATCTTAGACTGTGACATATGTCTATACTGTGCCATAGACTGTAACATATCTTGGGACTATACTGTGATTGTGCCATATCTTAGGGTTGTGCCATAAACTGATCGTGAGACGTTCAAAACATTTTCGGCGCTGACAGTGTAACCGTTCCGCTCGCTACTTAACGAAAATTAAATTGAGATAATCGAATAAGGAACGACATATTTGATTGGAATTCGTGGAATGTAGAATGGCATAAGCATTAATCATTGTAGCTCTCAATAATGGAACATCCAAATACATTCTGAATGTTGTTCTAATGTATGAAACAATCGAATCTTCTAATTTAAAGTTATGTATCGACGCAAGACACGAGATGCGATTTAGTCAACTTGGTACCAAATTAAACTAACAATTAGATGAAATACACCGCCCTCTATAAGCGTCGCAGCCAAAACTCCCAGATTGAATAACGTGTTAAAGAACTAATTTGCGTTTGGATCATTCAAGAGTTTGATTTTGTTTTTTATTTAGTATGAATTTGCTAAACTGCTAAGATGAACACACTTTAAATAGCACGTGGTCCAAATGAGACTACAAGGTGCCACTAACTTTTTGAAGTGGGTGTAACTAAGTTTACATGTTTTGCATCATCAGTGTAGTGCAGTGAAGTGTAGTGTAGTGTTCATTATGTTGTTGTGGACTTGATATCTTGTTCTATCTCGTTTCGAATGTGGGGGGGTGATTAATTGAATTCTTTGCATTTCGTATTTAATTGGTTAATAACAATGTTAGACCTAGTCGTAGTCAGGTCTATTTTTTAAATGGTCATATCTCTCATATTCTTTCTACGCTTTGTTAAAAAGATGAAACATGTGTATGCAATTGTTATATGACGGGAAATTAGTATTTGAATATAAGATAAGATATGTGTCATAAATAATATCAATCGACTGTCCATCGACTACAGATCACAGCATGATGTGTATATTTTGTTCTCGCATATCGCTTTTCGTCTGGACAGTTATGCACTGAAGTTCATTCGTCCTTTACAATTTTACAGTTTGAATCAAAGTTAATTCCATTTTATTCGTTTGTTTCATTAAGGGTGTCACCCTTAAATACGGTGTATGCCCTTGAATAACCATTTCCAAAGACATCGACAATAATATGCCATTTCAAAGGAACTAGGCTAATTAACTCTTTTTGAAAATAGGAAATATCTTGAACTTTTGGGGCTTTACTGACTACTGATAACGCTTGGCCTCATTTTATAAAAAAATGAAGGGTAATTAAAAAGAATAAGCTTGCTGCAGTTTCACACGTATACATTTCAATTGTCTCCCACAATAAGTGAATGATTGAAGGTTATTGATTACCACATGTACTTTGTTACCACCATTATGTGAAGGTCATGGTAACATTGAACTGAGATGCATAAATGACAAATTGAGATAATGAAAAGGCACAAGGGGCAACATGGAAACACAAAATCATCACCCATAAACCATATAAATAAAGTATTGACATGAAGACGTAAGAAGAACGATTTGCAAATAATGGAAACTCACTTAAATTCGGCTGAAACATAACTTGTCCAATCGAAGAGTTAAAAATGTTGACAGACCGATAATTCGGATCCATAGTCAAGTTTAATTTTAATACCTGAGTACATATTCTAGGTGAATATTTACGCCCATCTCTAATGTTTTGAGCAAAGACAAGGGGCCTACATGTGCTTTGCGATTCAAGTCTAGCTAATTAGACTCGGACATGTGTAGTATATAGCTGCTGTTGCTCAATAGCACCAATGATGTACTTGTTCATTAACCAATTTAGCAAAGCTTAACCAAAATTGTATTTTATTTCTGAATGACATTAAATCGAAATTATGTTGATGTGGCAAATATGATTCGAATCAATCAACCAACCAAACAAACAATCAATCAACCATATGCGTTTGTACAATGGGGTTTGACTTGTGATCGTGATGCACTTTCAGATTATTAACCTATATGTAGTACATGTAGTGTTTTTATTCCAGTTCATCTTCCAATTTATCCGATTAAATCAAGTCATTCAAAATAATTTCAACAGTTCAATTTGATGCTTTACAATTGACAATCATCTCAGGAATAAAACCATGAGGGTGTAGAAATAGTGGATAAGTCTGATTTTTTAAAATATGTAATTTAATTGTACTCACCTCGTTTGCCATTTTGCTGGTTGATCCGAAGAAGCGTATCCACTGGCAATATCCACCTGAGACTACGATGCGGGATAGGCAAGCAGAGGAATGTTCAAAGCTATATATCCTTTACCAATCGCCTTATACAACGTATATTGAAACGAAACCAACGCTCGGCAAGAGCTCGGGCAATAAATCTTACAACTACCGCGAGTAGGCAACTCTCTTGTTTTACATTCGGAATTACCCTAGAGTTTTTCTTGATATTTTATGATATGCCTCGTATTTGAACCGTTTCGAGATGTATTATTAGATAGAAATATGTTAATAAACGTTGTTTTATAGATTAGTGTGGTATCTGAGGTGCTTGGCTAGTTCTACAGTGTGTCTCAAAAAAAATGTTACACTTACAAAAAGTTCAATATCTTTCATGATTTTGACTTTTCCCCTAAAATATACTTAGATACCAACAGACCAGCCTTTTTCGAATAAATCCACACCATCTGATTCAAAATCCGTCCATGATTGGCTGCACAGGACTGATTTTATAGACGCATGTGAAATCTGATTTGCGCCAACTTCTCAGTGGTTGGACATGCGGTGGTAAATTCTTTTTTGGTGTGAATGCTGTGAACAGTGATATCTTGATATGATCAATGATTCAGTTGTTTCTTTCCTGGATAGAATACAACATTTCATTGTCAAAGGTTCAATTTTGTTACATATGATGGCAACAGGATAGTGCAAAGGCCTGTGGCAGATCATTTGGTAGAACTGTTTGGAAATCAGAAGATAGCATTCAATTACCCATTTGATTGGCCACCAGGGTCATCCCACTTTACACCCTTGATTTTTTGAAGGGCCTCTGAAAGCGCTTTACAGCATCACAAACTAACCTAAATGAACTTCTACAAAAATAATTGATGGAATCAGTGTGATATTACAATGCATGTTCGCATGGGCAAGGGTACCTCAGATTTGCTTTCACATTGAACATGTTGAGGGGACCACATGTTTATGTGGATAGACCTAATGACCATATGTAAAGAAATAGTAAAATTACAGAATGACTCAGTTAAAGGTCAAGCTTCTGCTCAGAAGAAAGTTAAATGTTAAAGAAACTGTTCCTCTTTTGTCATTTGGTCCATCCAATCACTTAGAAGTTGGCGCAAGTCAGATTTTACTATGGGACACTAAAAGCTGTCCTGTGGAGTCAATCAAGTACAGATTTTGAATCTGATGGTGTCAAATTATTCGAGAAAGATTTGTCTTTTGATATCCAAAGTATATTTAGGGGAAAATTCAAAATTATGAAAGATATTGAACTTTGTGTAAGTGTAACATTTTTTTTGAGACACTCTGTATATAAAGAATTAAAGGACCTCGGTTGATAAGGGCATTATATGGACAATGTATTCTGAGTCAAATATGTATCAAAATGCATGCGTTTCGGCAAAATGTTGGCCCATTTATCGCACTGGTCATACATGCCAGGATCCCAGAAAATTCTCACTCGCTTAATTTTGCTCCGACACCCAATAATCTAAAATATATCAGCAGAACGACTTTCTTACATGATGATCATCGATACCAGTAATATTATGATTTTTTGATATGTGGCAATGCATTAGCCGGCCAATAAATGTGACGTTGCGACACCCCTCTAATTACCAAAGATTGGTATTAACATTGACCTTACATGATTCGCACAGATTTGACGTGTTTGGTCCCTGGAATTTTGTGTTTATATCTTGGACCCACCCCGTACCCATACTTACCCATCTACTCACATATCAATCATGATGTAACATACAAACACAAAGAATTCCAGAAGTGCCCAACTACGGCGCCAGGGCATTCTCGTTTACCAGACCCTTCTTTTCTGTCGTTCGCATTCGGAAAGATCAATATAAGTGGGCGCGGTTATTGCAATGGTACCTTCAGAGACATCGAACATTGCGAGATTGTTACTTTGTGTTGTGCTGTTTGTATTTTTGCTATTGTGTTGTATGGTGATAAAAGTCTCGTGTTTTCAAAATTACACGACTATTCCTAAAGAGATCACGGATGTTGGCAATGAGTACATAGGTGTTGCGAAAGAGTACACGGGTGTTACCAGGGAGCACATACATGTACGTACAGTGTTACCAAGGTGTTTGATATTGTTGACAGGTTTGCCATGATGCGCCCTCGCACGGCTGCTGTGGAGCAGCATAGCCATCGAGCTAAAGTCCGATGTCCTTTATTTTTGTACTTTATCTATTAGTAAGTGAAGCACTTGAATATATGTATTGCTAAAAAGTCCTCAATAAACTTGAGGTTAAAGTCTAATTTTCGTGTTTTAATCTACTGTCTGATAAGCTGCTTGTTCTATGAAGTGTACCTACATGATTATTGTCATCGTTTGGCTTTTAATTCGAGAAAAACACTTACTTTTTGATAAGAGAACGAGAATGCCAGGGCTTAGCAAATCCCATATTAGGATGTTTTTTTACTTATTTTCTTTATTGCCTCGTTATACTTATAAACTACTTTAGTTACAATTCACTAATAAGAAGTAACGTTTCTTTCGTGTTTATTAGAAGAGTATAATTAGTCAGTGGATAAGAGATTTGTCACAATTTCCTAGAATCAGTTGTGCAAATCTTCAAGCCATCCGGGACTTTAACAGGACAGACACTAATCCACATTGCTTTTAGTAATAGAAAAGCAATAATAAAGTATAAAAACAGTGACCTTCTCAATCTTCAAAATATTATTTTAGTTACCCATAGAACACAAAAAACGATGGGCCTCCCATGTTCACTCGAAATAGAACCAAGTCCGTTTTTGAATTGTTTTGAATGTAATGTTTATCACTGTTACCTCAGTTTCAACTAATGTTTATCGATTTTAAATAGGCTTTAAACTCAAAAATTAAAGAGGCAATAACTTACATCATCAGTATACTTCGATTGTTAAAGAGGTGATATATATCGATTCATGTAAATATTACAGCTTCCAAAAAGTACTCAAATTTTGACACTTATGAATAAAACGACTTAGAAGGTATACAGTAAGGTGTTCAAGGCCGACTTATTTGGACTGACATGTCGTTTACACAAGGATTTTTAAGCTTTAATGTTCAGAAAAGGTTTTTATCAATGTCTATTGATGGTGTGAATTGCTGGCTGTGTTTTAATTTAAATAAGGCAAAGAGTTGGAGATTCAACACTTAATTTTCCATTCAGTCGATGCGGAAAGTCCGTTGTAAGAGGGTAGGAGGTCCTATCAAATTATGGTCCTACTCTCCATTGATTTATATGGTGACCTAAATACAACTCTTTCCCTCATTATCTTATACACAGTCAGGGCCAGTAAGGGCCGTTAAGAAAGGGGACCATAATCCCTAGGGGACCATCATTTCTTTCACACAGGTGTAAAAGGGTAGGTGGTCCTATCAAATTATGGTCCTACTTTCCATTGATTTATATGGTGACCTAAATACAACTCTTTCCCTTATTATCTTATACACAATCAGGGCCAGTAAGGGCCGATTAGAAAGGGGACCATAATCCCCAGGGGAGCATAATTTCTTTCACACCGGTACACAAGGTAAGCGGTAACAAGCATTATTAAGTAGTGCCATCTTTATATCAGCTGCACAACAATGTTTGTCCCAGGTTATTTCATTTTTCAAGAATGTTCTCAGCGGCCCTTTAACAAATTCGGATAACGTTAAAACTGGTCCGTCTGTCATTCTTTCCGTCCCATTGGATTACATTGCGGGCGACGCCCACTTTTCAGTGGAAAACCTTGTTTTGCACTTCTTAACTACTTTTATAACGTATTTCCTGTTATAAACATTTGGGAATAATATCAAAACACTCTCAATTGATGCAAACTAGATTGTTCTAGCACTTCTTATCGCAGAGACGATAAAACGTGCTAGAACATTCTAGTTTTCATCAATTAATAGTGTTTTGATGTGTTTCCAAATCCTTATAACAGGAATATTGGTTCCAAGCATCACCGGTGTAAAAGAAAACATGATCCCCTTGGGATTATAGTCCCCTTTCTTAAAGGCCCTTACTGGCCCTGATTGTGGATACGATAATAAGGGAGAGTTGTATTTAGGTCACCATATAAATCAACGGAAAGTAGGATCTTACTTTGATAGGACCTCCTACCCCTTTTACACCGGCACTGCCAGCACAATTTGCTGAGAATATTCTTGAAAAATGAAACACCCCAATTCATACTGATCCGAAATCTCAAAATGTTTTCGTTCAGAACAAACGTCTGTTGAATATTTGACATGAAGAAATCACGTCCAAGTGTAAAGAACCATTACTCTGCTCTTGCATTTGTAAAAAATTCAAGATCAACATACGAGCAGTTTTCATACTCTCTTGATGCCAAGATATCATGTTCCGTCCACTCAATAGCACAAGAGAAACAGATTCTCAAATGGAAACTGGATAAAACATCATTAATTCTAGATTTGACTTCAGGGTGAATGTTAATATTGTTGACACCAATTTTTCAGATCATTCCAACAGCAAGTCATAGATGTCAGAAATGCCAGAAACAATTAATAATAAAAATCTCCATCTTGATAAAATCCAAAGAGATGTTGAGATCAATTTTGATGGTAAAGCTGAATTCTATTCTGTAAGTTATCCTGTGGTCAATCTCTACATTTGTGACTTCATATAACACAACACATTTTCAATATACACCCAACCCTGCACACCTGTAAAATGTCTATTGATGACACCTATTTCTCACACTGGACATGTAGAACACCACACTCTTTTCTCATTGTGCTATCTTTATTAACAGAATTTATACAAGGAATGAAGCAATTGTCTGTTTAGTCTCTTTTCTTTCCTCTGGTCTGCTTTACAACTACGGGCTTCTGGCTCTGTAGGATAGCACTTGCACGGCGGAGAGCAGCCTGGAAGTACAATGGAAACAAAGAATAAATATTTAGGAGCAGTCAAAATAAATAGATCAATCAAGTAGACCATGCCTTCTATTGTTTATGCCATTTGTACAGTTTCAGGGCAACTTTGCTTATTTTCACAAAATTCTTACAATTTTTTACTAACATTTCTGCATGCAAATCATGAGATCGCAAGTGTAATCCTACAAATTGCCTTGGTTTAACAAAAAGGGATTATGATTCGCAACTTCATTTGTTCCTAAAAGTAACCCTTGATTGGAAGAAGATAGAGGGTGGCCAGAAATGCAATACTTCAGTAACTTTACCATATAATAGATAGTATATGACAATAATGATGCCTGCTGATGCAGGATGTGCATCAATTTAAATTGAAAGATATGTTAAATATTTTCTATGTAGAATACAATTTAGCATGCACAATTTCTTCAATGTGGCATTCACTAACAGCTTATTGGGATTATCCATACATCAACAGGGTCAACACAACACCTTCAATTCAAAATACCCTGATCTGAAGTTTTAAGTTCCCTGATCTAAGATCGATACTAACCATTTTCAAGTCTTTCCTGTATCTGTTATTTCTGAGTGTTTTCCTGATGGTGTTGAGTGATCTGCGAGATCCTCTCTTCAGTTCTACACCAACGTGAGACTTGGCAGGCTTCCTCCAGCCTAAAATAACAATTGTACTTAGAAAGTACACAATGTACAACCCATTGGCTTATATTTATGTGACTTGCAGTAAATAAGTTTCTTATTATCTAGCTGTAACAATATAGAAGGCACTTATAAACACAATTAACACAAAAAGCCTCCATGCATTTACAAAGTAAGGATTATATCTTAAAACTTACATTATTGATACTGATTAGAATGGGACTGTAATTTAAAGATTGTGTTTCAGTTAAGAGATCTTGTACTATGGGTAATTCAGATAAGACTTTGTGAGCTAGTCGGAACAAGTTCTCTTCAATGTGGCATTCACTCAAAGCGAGCTGGGATTATCCATACATCATTATTACCCATAAAAAGTACATGTTTAACAAAGCCAATATGATCACAAGTTTTGGGATAAGCTCAAGGTTTGAACTGCAAAAAAATTATAATTGATACATATATACTATAATTGACTTGTGATGGCATACAAACAACAAATATAGTAAAAGTCAAGTGACTCTTACCTGTTGCTCTTTTAGTTACCAGGACAACTCCCTTGCCATCAGCGCATGGCTCAACTCCTACAGTTTTCTTCTGGACTAAACCATTGTAACGGAACGAATTGCGGTTTCTCAGGTTGTTTGGTTCCTGAAAAAATCCACATTGCATACATGCTATAAGTATAATAAGTATTAAAGAAACAACCTGTACATGTATACAAAGCTTACACAAAAACTCTGTGTTAGAGCCGATGAATAGTTCATGACTAAGAATTCAGCTACTGGCTGACAGATTTCCAGACTATTTTATGGCCAACTCATTTAAATATGAATAGTAACTGCATCTCTTCCATGTTCATATTGAAATGAGCTGGCCATAAAAAGTAGGGTAAACCATCAGCCGGCAGTTGAATTCCAAATGCTACATTAATCTCAGATGCAAACAAAATCACAAATAAATGTTCCTCTAAACAGAACCATGAAAGTATTACAAAATAATACATAATCTAAAACAGTGGATACATTTGCTTTAAAAACTAAATTACAGTAAAACAGTAATGGGGGGCGTGTATGTGGACTTGTCACAACCTAGGTTAATTCAGATGTGATGACTGTGAGCTAGACATGGCTTTTATCCAATGTGAAGCTAGCTTGAATATCCAGATATTATTATCACAACTCAAAAAAGGTAAAGCTGAAATAAAGATGTGAACATGTCACTGTGATTAATGAAAATAACCATGGGCTTTCTCTTGAAGCCCATGAGAAAATCAAAACAATACAAGCTCAAGCAAGGTAACTAGAGAAGTGCCACATTCACAGGATTCTAAACTAAACATTTCAACAATAATGTCGGAGTTATCTGTAACATTGTACAGTATTGTGTTTGTAACATGATCCTTTTAGTATACTAAAAAGTATCTTACCTTGCTGAATGTTTGCTTGTTTCCCTTCAGCAAAAAGCTGGAGTTGTTCCTGATAATCATCCACTGAAGATCGGCAGACATGGTGGATACCTAGAGACAAGAAAGTTACCCCTCTGTTAGTGTTTCAGACATATTAACTTTATTATTTACGTTTTGATAGTACAGAATTGATATTACTGTTGAATATGAGCCCAGTCATTCACATTTTATTTCACTGATTTGAAATTTTGTAAAGATAAAAAGACATGCAACACAGCTATAATCTACGAGACTTTTGGTAAATGCTGTCAGCATAAACGATGTTTAATAATGTTCAGATAGCTAATGGCAGACACATAATCATTCAGAACTCAACATCAAATAGAAAAAATGGAATGAAATTTGGGAACAGAGCAGCCATCTTGGATTTTTTGAGAAACGTGTTTCAGTTTGACATGAAATATTCGAGTATGAAGGCAAGTTTGAAGGCTGATTTGTAAATGAGTAGTAAAACAGTATACTCATGAACTAAGATAACATGGACATATGTGCAACAGATTAATAATATGACTTCTATCGCGTAGAAATGTTGGAAAAATATTTCACCTGTTTAACCACAGAAAATAGTTCCAAAGAGGAAGTTAGCCTGTTCACTTCAAATTAAACTAATACGACTGATTAGCTTGCTTATTTTACTTTGCATCTGTAGATCTCTGTAGGGTCTGTATAGATTTTATTAAGATGGACAATCAAATTACTCATTTCAATTAAGTTTAATTGATCAAAATAACTTAAAATTGATTAGGATTATTTTTAGATGCGCCATACCTAGAAAAGTGTTCTTCGGTCAAAGAAACTTTTAAAATGAAATTTCTCCATATTTATTGGCTTTAATACCAGTATCGTAGTGTACTGTTCAGTATGATTGGTATGTAAAGATATTTATATATGTAATAATGACAAATCACTTATCGATTGCTAGACTGGTGAACCAGACGTAGTTATATTTCAAAATTAATGTTGAGTATCTCCATTATCGCCCATTTCAAGTATCAGTGTCTTCCATGATTTCCCTGATACTCAATTATTATAGCGCATATTTATTATTGTTTGATGTACCATGGGCTTTTTAGACACTTCTGTAACAATTTGACCATGGTGTTACTCCCATGATTTTAGAATATAGCATTAAAAAATTGTTGTGAATATAAATCAGCAAAATATTTTTGTTTTAGGCCACCTATGAGGTTACACTTTAGGAATAATTTACCAAGGTAATGGCTCTTCTCACAACACATGAAGTGTTAGGTGAGCATCTATATGCCAAGGTAGCTGTCTTGACTGAGGATAAAGACTCACAAAAGATAACTGGAATATTGATGGAGTGTACAGATGATGACATTTTGAAAATGTTGAAAGATGAAGAGTTGCTCAAAAGAAGAATAGAGAAAGTCCTACAACACATTCAGATTGAAAGGTGAAAATTATAATAGATGTGGTTAGAATTGATCAGATACATGTAATTATTGCAAACATAAGAGGCCACAAGTAAATACTCCTACATGGCGATAGTATGTATCCAACAGACTGACTAGAAGTCAGTCTGTTATGATGTATTACTTTCCTGTGGAAATTGCAGTGAAATTTTTTGCACAAAATTATCAATTGGAGGAACCGTTTCTTCAATAAAATAATCATAACAAAATTTCAATAAAATAGTAAGGTACAATTAAATGCAATAAAAAGTAACATAGCATATTGTTAAGTGGAAATAAAGCTAGTTGAAGTAACAAATGTGAAAATTAATTTTACCCAATCGGCCATTTTGAATAGCACTTCCTATGTAAACAAATATTTAGTATTACCAAACTTTAACATAGATGCCTTATAGTCTGAATATAATTCAGACTAAATAGGATATAGTCTATACATGGCGATGAGAATTAGTGATGTTTTGGGAGCTAGCCATTTACCTTCAGATGTCATGACATGCCATCATGTATGAGCATATAACCATTGAAAGGTTGAGTACCGGATTTTCTCGCATATACGCCCCCCTAAATTTAGGCCCATGGGCCAAAAATCGAATGTAGTACGCTTATACACCCATGGGCCTATAAAAAATGACTATTTATTGATTTTTTCAATAAATTCAAGAGTATTTTGTCACTGGCAGATCGTTCTGTCGTTACTTTGTTTCAACATTAAGTTCAACGCTGTGCCGTAAGTGGCAGTGGTGGATCGTTCTGTGTTACTTTATTTCAACATTAAGTCCAAGGTTGTAGGTGACATTTCCTTTATAATTCTTACAAAACATGTGGTAGGACTACAACAGTAGGTACGGTAGTCTTTGAGGAACCATTGTATTCATCAGCTCTTCTCACCTTTACGCCCACTGGGCCAAAAATCAAAAGTAGTACCATTATACGCCCATGGGCGAAAAATAAGAGGTAAAATAACAGACGAAATTACCCCTTGTTTCAGTTATACGCCCAGGGCTTATATGCGAGAAAATCCGGTACCTCCCTTTGAGATATCCACATTGTAAATAGTAGTCCTCTCCATTTAACTTTTTGTGACCAATAGTGTATTCATTTCCAGATGTAAACCATTAGAGAAAGACCAAGAGGAATTGGGTGAACGGCTCTTCCCTTTAGTTGCTGAGATAGAAAGTGAATTATGTGCTCAAATAACAGGTACTGTTAGCATGTTTAATTCAACACTAATCTTATAGTTGCCATGTCACCATTGTAAATTCCAGTTGTATTGTAAAAAATAAGGCTTATCATGGTTTCTTTGCACCTTGACAGATCCATCAGGGCTTATTTATTATTCATCAAGCTGTATTTAAGTGATTCTGTTCCTCTTACATCAAGATTGTGTCACCCCACCTTTCTGTCTGTATGAAGTAGGTAGAGAGATGGCTCCAGAGACTTGATACAAGACTATGCTTTATTAGATAAACATTGTAAATAAAGGTCTTATCATGGTTAATTTGCAACATGATGAAGTCATCTCTGCTTATTCATCAACAAGTATTTCATTGTTCTGTCAATATTCCTTATATTGAGTAATTTGACTTTCATTGTTCTGTCAATATTCCTTATATTAAGCAATTTGACTTTCATTGTTCTGTCAATATTCTTTATATTAAGCAATTTGACTTTCATTGTTCTGTCAATATTCCTTATATTAAGCAATTTGACTTTCATTGTTCTGTCAATATTCTTTATATTAAGCAATTTGACTTTCATTGTTCTGTCAATATTCCTTATATTAAGCAATTTGACTTTCATTGTTCTGTCAATATTCCTTATATTGAGTAATTTGATTTTCATTGTTCTGTCAATATTCCTTATATTAAGCAATTTGACTTTCATTGTTCTGTCAATATTCTTTATATTGAGCAATTTGATTTTCATTGTTCTGTCAATATTCTTTATATTGAGCAATTTGATTTTCATTGTTCTGTCAATATTTGTTATATTGAGCAATTTGACTTTCATTGTTCTGTCAATATTCTTTATATAAAGCAATTTGATTTTCATTGTTCTGTCAGTATTCCTTATATTGAGCAATTTGACTTTAATTGTGCTGTCAATATTCTTTATATTGAGCAATTTGATTTTCATTGTTCTGTCAATATTCTTTATATTGAGCAATTTGATTTTCAATGTTCTGTCAAAGAATATTGAGCAATTTGATTTTCATTGTTCTGTCAATATTTGTTATATTGAGCAATTTGATTTTCATTGTCCTGTCAATATTCTTTATATTGAGCAATTTGATTTTCATCGTTCTGTCAATATTCCTTATATTGAGCAATTTGATTTTCATTGTTCTGTCAATATTCCTTATATTGAGCAATTTGTTTGCAGGAATGCTTCTTGAACTGGACAGACCATCTATAGAGTTACTACTAAATTCTGAATCTGACCTGGAGAATGCTATACAGAAAGCTAAGACTGAATATCTCAAACAGTTGGGTTATGAACAGGACACTGGTACACCTCAAGAAGAGGATGTCACCATACAAGAGCTAGGAGAGGCTGTGTTTGATAGAGTCAGTGAGAAATATCCCAAGATGGAGGATGCTTCTCAAATTACAGGTAAGCATTTCAGTTTAGAAGACTAAGACACTTGACTTCAAAACTGATTGATGAAAATGACTATTCTAAGATCAGATCCTTCTCAAAATGCACACTTTAAACTTGTTCTCAAAAGCTCTTGGCTTAAAGAGTGTGTTTCTGTACTTTAATATCAAATAAACTCATACACTCGAAAATATTTGCCTGGTTTGAACCTGCAAGTAATTACTCACTTCTGATCCATTGTCTGATTATTTCTACTATTATTAAAGTGCAATATTAAGTAGCGCAGCCAAGCTTATGAAAATATTAATAACAATTATTTTGCCAGGAATACAACATATTTCTTTCTCTTGTTTTCGGCCTTCGAACCCATAGGCGAGCTTTTGTGACCTTTCCATATTTCTGGTTTTTGAATTGTATTAGGGATTTTCTGAATCATTCTTATCATTTAACAGTTATGTTTGGTGCCCATTGTTGATTTATAGGGATATGTGTTTATTGCATGACAAGTGAGGTTTCAGGTACATAACAGCGGGATATAGAATTGATATCTTGGGAATATTCCTTGGAAAACATTTTTGATCAGTGTAGTAAAAGTCAATTTCATCAAAATAATTCAACATAGCGTAACTGTCTTTAGAAATTCAAGGAAGAAAAATGTTTAACTATGACATTCTCACTGACATCATGGATATAAGGCTTACGAAAAGTAGAGAGGATTTAGCAAAGAAACAGAAATCTCTGAAGCAAAAGGGATTTCGAAATCAGTCAAATCCTTGTCATAGGATAAATTAGTTATGTGATGCTCAGTTTTGGATATGGAGTATATCCCTCGGGAAATATGATATCTTACCTCATACCCTCCAGGCCCCTTGATCAATATTTCTCTCAGGATATACCCCATATCTAAATCTCCCTTGAAATAACCGTCATATATTTTGTAGTTCATCAAATATTGCCCTTTACATTTTCTTTTTCTCACATTTACATTGCTACATTCCAGGTATGCTATTAGACCTTGGCACGAAGACATTACAAGAACTTCTTCAGAATAAACAAGAATTTATGGCTAAAGTTGACCAGGCTTATAAAATATTAGACCATTCAAAATCCTGATGCTAAAAACACTTGCCAATAATGAAGGAGGATTAATACAGCCAGCCTTGACATTGCAGTTCCCTCATCACAATTTGTGTTTTGGTTATATCTGGATGATTTAGTTGGTAACACAACATTTAAAGCTATAACTCAAGAATTAATGCTTGTAACATTAGCATGAGACAGGCGAGGCCAAAATTTTGAAAAAATCAATGCAGAAATTTGTTTCTGATGAAACCGTAAAAATGAAGTTTAATGGTAGTATTATACTGCCTTTTTCGCTCAATTTCTGCCCCATCTATTTAAAATAGGCGAGGCAAATTCAGATTCTGGCTACACCTCTGTGACCACCATGGTACAATCTTATTGTCAACTGCTTGAGTGTTCTTAATTGGCACACATTTAAAAGTATCTAGTCGTGTAACATATTTGTTTACCAATTTACATCATACTGCTGTAATTATGTACTTTTAAAAAAGTAACCTTTTACATTTTGAGGATTCAATTCTCTTCGTGATTTTATTTTAATGTGACAATTCTTTATATTTTATCAAAGAAATGTAATGTTACATATGGGCAGGGCTTTGTATAACCTAATTGGCTATATATTATAGAGTTACACATTATCATAAACATGTTTACTTTTTTACGCTAACTTGTTAAATATTGGTGACACCTGCTGCTACATCATTTTTATTTTTACACTATTTATCAGAGGCAATCATTTATTAGAAATCAGGGGTCAGTTTCTTGATGTTTGAATGCATTGAGAATTCTTGTTCAATTCTCAAATTAAATTGTGTTTTATCTTTAATATTTTAAAGATTTGAATTAATCATGGTTGAATTCATAGAAACTTGAAATTATGAAACATTCTTGAAATGGTCCCCTGTATTTTTTATATATTTGTCCTTACCTGATTTAAGACACTTGGTCTCTCTGAGCCTCCATAATTGAAGTTGGGCTCATCATCTCCGGAGTCATTAAGATCCACTTCCGTGGCTTTACTGGGAGTTTTAGCTTTCCTCACAGACTCCTGGGGTTTGCTGAAAAATAAAATTGAATAATTGTGAATAAAGAGGCAGGCCTACTGAGAGACCTACTCTGTTTTGGTGTATTTTTGAAACATTCTGACACAGACTGTGAATAAAATATTTCTAAATATAAATGCTGATGAAAGTTATGTTTTTGGAATATTTTTGATTTAGAATTTAGAATTGTATTTATCTGATGTAGCTTTCTAGTGTTTGTATAGCGTTTTATGTGTTTTCCATCGGTAGCCTAAAGTTTCAAGCAATTTTCAAAAATGTACATATAGGCAGCTGTATGTCAAAACAATAATTCTATGAGAGCAGACTTCATATTGAAAAGTTACTGTTATTGACAAAACCAAGATGGTTCTGAGAAAAATATTTACCGAAAATGAATCATATTATTGTGTACAATCGAGATCCCATCTTTTACAAAATTGAATTTTTTAATTTTGTAGCCATGAATTTTGTCAAAATCAAATTTTGCAAAAGATGGAACCCTTCTAAAATAAATACATGAAATATAAGGCTATTGTAAATGGTTGTTGATGTTACCATGGTAAACATAATGCCTCACCTGTCAGATGGAGCTTGAACTACTTCCACGACGGGTGTCTGTGGGGGAGATTTAGCACCACCTTTAAGTCCGGGCATTGCTTTCAGGAACTCATCAAAACTGATATTACCAGATTCATCCAGATCTAGACGGTTTACAATGGCCTGAAAATAATCAATGCTGAATGTATATACTGTATGTGGAATTTAAAAAATCTTGAGAAATGTTGGTTGAATTTGAGAAAATGTCCATGAACTGAGTCATAGTGTCTCATACACGAATGTGTGGTTGTAATTCCATGAATTATAGTCATATACTATCATTATCTACAGATCTAGGTTATCATGTGTAATGTGGAATTTTACATATACGTAATTCTCATACTATGAAATACAGTAAGTTTACATAAAAAATTTAGTTGCCATACCTTTGTTGTTAGAACTCTTTAGTATATAAACATCAGTTAGTATTTAAATATTTAGCAATCACTCCTTAAAACAATTAATATTGAATAACAAATTCACATCTTATATCACATGTTAACTAAAATTGTTAATGACAAAACAGTAAAGCTCACTTTTATTCTGTTATCACCAACTGTGAATCCAAGTTTCTGAGCCATTGTACCCAACTCTGCCGAGCTGATTGTTCCATTGCCATCCTCGTCAAATAAGTCAAAGATCTTCTTGTAGCGAGCAATTTGCGCCTCAGACATATTTGCAGCCATTTTGTTAAGTTTTTGAAATGTTCAGCTGTTAGTGTTTTATATAAACCAACGTGGTCAGTAAGTAGTATCCTTTAGTGTGTTGTATCAATGGTTATGCCTGAAGCAAAATATGAATAGCACACAGTGTTAGATAATTTAGTTTACTATCTATAATTAGTTCAATATGGTATACTGATGGGGTATATAAGTAACATGTACAGTTGACATCATGTTAATGAGACCCAGAGTATTCATTGTATCAGTCTGTTTAATAGTAAGACCATTGATTGGTCTTACTGATTAAAAAAACATTTTAGCTCGCGTTTGGTTTGAGTTTAATTATATGGTACACCCTGGTGGATTGGGCACCCGAATTATTTTTATGTTTCCTTGAAAATAAATTATCTGAATATCTAATGCAGGACGATACAAGTTTTCACACGTCCTGGATGCCTAGAATTGAAGATACATTGGTTTTGTTAATGCTTATGATGCAAATTATAAAGTCATACGTATGGTTTTTATGTAACCTTGATGACCCATTTGTGTCACTAAAACAGTATTGAAGTACGTGTACTGAACGAGTTTTTATTGTAAATTTGATAATAGATCTTCCGACCTTTGACAATGATATTCTAATTGGCCCATGATGATTGACCCATCTTACATCTCATGGACTTCATTACCTCAATTTGGCAATAAAACACTCACAAACAGAGTTACTTCCATATTTGACCCTGATATTGGTAAATTGACATTGACCTTTTGATTTGAACTCTTAGGAATATGTGTATAAACACTTTGTATTGTATCTAAGGGGGCCTCTGGTATCCCGAGGCCTGTTATGTTACAGATTTACTTAAAATTACACAGCACACTATTACACAAACGACACGGCAAGTGATTAGTTTGGATAAGTACACTGTAAAATCAGATGGAACGAGCAGGCGAACTAGTAAACTCTGAAACACACCTGGTAGTATATAACCTAGATCTATCAAGGCTTTCAGTATGAAATTGGTACAGGGTGTCCCAAAAAGCTTACCATGGCAACATCAGACACATTTTGAGGCTTCACATATGTAATTAGATGAACATTAAATGACTAATCTATGCATGTTAAGATAGTCTTGCATTAAGTCATTCTCACCCTTGTCTCTTCATGTTTTTGTCAAATTCAGGCAGGAAATATAGAGTGGATCGGGGGAGAAGGTCGAAACAAGGCAAAATAAGGATAAGAGAACCAGTTCATTAATTATGGAACACCCTGTATCCATTGGCGTAGCAGGACACGAGGAAGGCGAGGCATCTGTCTCCCCCAAATTTTACATTAAAACCATTAATGGAGACAATGTAAAAATGAAGTATAATGATAGTACATTGACTTTGACTCCATTTTTCCTCCCCATTTAAGTTTGCCTCGCCTATTTAAATTTGCCTCGCCTATTTTAAGACCCTGGCTACGTCCTTGATATATATGATCTCAGGAGATGGATGCTAAGTGAAAGATCACCTTTATTTTTCCATCAGTGACAGAAAAGCCCATTTTCTTACAGATAGAAGTCAAATCGTCAACATTTATCACCCCATCGTGGTCCATGTCAAACAGGTCAAATATTTTCCTGAATTTTGCCTTTAATATAGGATTTGACTGTATGGCGCTCAAATCCATGATTGAAAAATGTATAGTTATGTAGTTTGTATAAATCCTGAGGAAGCTATGTAGCTTTGCTGTTTAGAACCTGAAAAATAAATAAATTCATTACATAAAGTGTTAGATGCCCAAAGTAGATTTCTTGCTAAATACGAGTGGACCCTAGATAGCATAATATTTTGTAAGAAGTAGGTTGAAACATTTTTACTCTCAGGGCTCGTCTAATAGCATAACATTTTGTTAGAAATGTTTTCTTCGTGTAAAAAATAATAATTGAGGCCTTTATCTTGCAAGGCTCCACTCGTCTTTGTTGCCCTGTTCTTCGGTGGCAATATTTTCATTATTTACATGGAATTGTCATGCGTTTCCTTCTTCCTAATTGCCAGTTTCGTTTTGTGAAATCAGCTAATAAAATCCCAAGATCGTCAGTGAGATTTTATTTAGCATTAAGGAAACTGCTGGCATATCACAATCTATCGGTCACATTTATTCCAAAGATATTACGAGACAGAACCATGTAAAAATACCTGTTAAACGAATTTACAAATTACTGCTGTGATTTTCCTGATATAATTTAAGCTGGATCTGGGTAAAGTCCGTAAAATATTCTTGTTAAAATCACTTTATATGGACCTGTTAGTCTTGTTTCTTTTTCTTGGTAAATGTGGGACTAACCGAGGATGAATTAGTTGATATTCCTTATTGGAACACGATTTTATGATTTCTAATTCTGTTTTTTTCTCATGTCGTCCTAAAATATTAACCATCATGCATTCCATTGATCACTCGCGATCGTATCGCACCATTGCTTGTGAATGTCGTAGCCTTACTGTTTACTCACAGCGTTTTATGCATTTTATGTACACATTTTATATATCATGTTGTCTCTATGGCAACCGGTGGCAAAATATCTTAGCAATTTAGTAATGCAAACAATTTTTTGCTTGGCCTAATGTTCTCGTATGTTAAAAAAAGGAACGGCAACGTTACCTGTTTACTCCTACAACATTCTACTTCAGCACAGCCAAGGCGAGAGTATTTATTTATACGTTTAGCATTTGTTTTGCTTTTTCTCATATACAAATGTACAATGGCAAAGATATTTCTCTTAAAATACACGACATGTGCAAGAACAGTGGTTAAATGCCATATGGATCTTATATTTTGAAGTTTGGTAAACTTGTTAACATAAGCATGTTCTGAAATAGAATTAAGAGGTCTGCTAAACGATTCTTTAATTTTTTCTCGCCTCATACAAATACAACTAACAAGGGCCGCAAGGTGTGGGTGTATTAGGTTGACTAATTTACACTTACCTCTCGAAAGGAGGAACAAACAAAAATATGAAAAAATCTTCTAATAAGCTAAACCTGTACCCTATGCATTAATGGAGTTATCTTTTAAGAAGATTTTTTCATATTTCTGTTAGTCCTTCAAATATATTAAGGACATGTCGACATTTTTGAGGACCCAATTATAAGTCTTAACACGTACTTCAAGTTTATTTGAGCCATCATTCAAACGATGATTTGTTATTACTGAATAATGCTTTTGATTAAACTATGAAAACTATACAAATGAAATGTGAAACAGAGACGGATTTAACACGACATTGCCATTATAGAAAATATAACGTGGGTAGGCGAATTAAATGGGTATTTGTAACTTTAAGAGAACACCAATGGGTTAGAATGTACAACCATAGACAGTCTATAAAATTATTTTTAGGTGAAATCGTGTATCATGGTTTGTGAAAAAGGTCTGTTGGTGTAGTACGTTAGTAGTACTATAGTATGTGTGTAATACTCATGTGTATCCCATCGTCTCCCGAAGGAGATGCCTCTCACCTTGCTGCCACCCCTCCCATTTTCCTAGTCTACCCTATTATTCCAAAATTCCCATTGGTTAGCATGTGTCTTATCGATGCTGACAACGAGCCCACCCCTATCCCATTCTAATCAGTATTGATTCTGTAGCTAACCACTCCCGTATCATGTCCATCAGGAAGGAGTAAATTAGAAACAGCGGTGCCATTATCTCCTTGCTCTCCTTGTAGCGTAACCTAAGAGCACATAAACATGAGAAACCGATCTTTCCTATATACGAGCCTAGCCTATATTTGTAATTACTATTCCTGTTTTCTAATCAGAAACATGTTTTACTACAACGAGGGAATGATCGCTAGCACTGTCCGAAATATTCAGAACCAGTTTCCATGGTTACCGATTGGTTTTTGATATGCTGTCTTAGCCGCACGAAAATCGTTTTCCAATTATTACAAATGGATTTGTAGTGGGTCCTTCAAAATATATCAGATAAATCAGGCGAATTTTGTAATAAATTATATGTACGATCAATCTAAAGCACAAAGTCCTAAACCGATGACCTTATTTGTCAACCTGAACTTGTTACTATAGCAACTAAGTGATTCATTTGGATAACCTAATACACACGAGGCTAAATGGCACACATGTCTTTTATTTGTACCAGGAAAAACAAAATCTGCATCTCTCTTCAGTACATGCTCCTATTGATATTCCCACGGAGGTCATAATGAGCTCATTTAGAATTCACGCCGCAGACAAAAATTGAGGCACCCTGTGCATAGACTCGCAAAACTCATCCATACAGATGTTATATTTAACGATGTTTCATAGCCAGATATACCTACCAAATCAGTGAATATTGTCCCCCAGTCCTTAGTGTCCTGAATATGAGGCCAAGTATCCTATTATAATCTGCAATGTGATCCACGTGGTGCCGAATGCTGTAGCAACTTGTTGTACAGACGTATACGTCTGTCAGCTGCTCAACCCGCTCGGTAAGTGAAAGCTCATGAGGCCAAGAAAATTAATCATTTGGTTTAAAACTCCGAGTAAATTCGCTGTGGATCGCCTCACATTTTATACCAAATAATGGCAAAAATTTATTCATTACATTTTATATTTTGTAGGAATTCCAAGGCAAATATTAATGCTAACAAGATAGTAAGTCATGTTTGTATATAATTCAGTCGCACACTGCAGTAAAATTCAGATACAGGATTTTCTAGCAATGACACCCCGGAAGAAAGTAAGGCCTATTTCGTGGTATCATGGCATGGCCACACTAGCTATGTGTAAAAACCGTAAGCAATCCAGTCCAATAGCCAGGGGATGGAGCTTGGAAAGCGGAAGTATCTGACTTTACCGTTGTCAGCGTTTTTCCGTTGTGGAGATGGGGGAATGAGTTCTGTATTCCGCTCTTATGCAATGCCAATAAATGAATGGGGAACAAAAGCTGCAGGGTCAGTCGTAGTACGAAGTTAAGTTAGGATTGGGGTTAGGGTTAAAAGTGACTTAGTTTGTTTACATCTTTATTTTTTCCAATTCTGAAGAGTACAATATTTTAGAAAAGAATAAATGAATAAATAGGGTATGATACTAATTATATACATAATACATGGAGGCATAAGCATAAGTAAGGTTGTACGAAATGTGGCCAGTAGTTTCAGTAGGCGATCATCAGAGTGAAAATGAGAATTAGTCATATCATGGGCTCTACCACCTCTGATAGAGCCCATGGTCATATATGATTGAATAAGATCCTGTTGAAAATATAACATGATTATCAAAACCATTTATGTTGCACAATGCACTGTACTTGGCAAGGTCATTTCGGACCTAACAGGTGAATCCCGGCATGTCATGGACATGTTAATGGATTTAACCTGGCGTATTTGGCAATAAACATATTCGTTGGATAATACGAAGATTTTCACGAAGCTTGTATTCGCGAATGCAAATAAATGAGTTGACCATAAAAATAGGTTAATTCGGTAGACGGTAGCCGATAGCCGAAAGTTGAGTTCGCGAGTCTTCAAGCTAAGTTTATCAATATTGTGTCATCAAAGCTCAACATTTTGCGAGTAAGAAAAAATAAAAAAAATTTGAGGAAGTTAAAATAAAGTCAAGTCTTACTGAAAAGGCCCAATTTTCATTGTTTGTGAAAAATAAAAAACAAACACGAATATCGTATAAAACATGTTTTGATGATCGGGAAAGGGTTTCCAAACCTTCGAAGGGGAGTGTAACTTTCGGGGACAGGTCGTACAGAATTTCCTCCCATATGCCACCGGTTGAAATGCCGGTAATACCCGATCAAGACGTCTAACCACAATTTTCCAAACGATTTCCCGCTATGGGTGACAGAGGGTTGTCAACCTAACAGTTTCTTCCCTCGTCAATAACTTTACGGTATTTAGTATTTACTCATAATTGAAACTGTTTTGGAGTTTGGACAATAAACAAAATGGTTCCGTGGCGCAAATATGTGAAATTCCAGTCTTTCAAAAGAACATGCTGTCCATGGCTCTGTAACAGGATGAACCTGCGTGGCCCACATACTTCTCCATTAATCCTTGGTTTTCCCATCGGTTCTACTTGGGACAGCATACTAAAGAAATCTTAATTCTTACCCAGGTCCTATCTACCAGTCAATAAAATGTGAAAGAACAATTAGAACATACAGTAAGTATTTTTCTAAATTGTTTTCAAGTGTTTTATTTACACAATAGTTACTCTTATAATATTACATCATGGACTCTCAACTAGATATAATGCCCAAGAGTATGACCTTGAGGAATATGACAGCATATATCCGTCCATGACGTCCATTACTCATACACTGGGGGAATGATTCACAATCTTAGGTTTTTGGCCGATATAAAGATGGCAGCAGCAGTAGAAACCTAGTTACATTTTTCTCTGAAATTACTGTCTCAAATAAAAAACAGATGATTGGCCCATGTGCTTTCAAAGCCCATGATTGGCCTGCCCTCTTTATTTGAAAATTATTTATATCGCCCCTTCTGCATATGAATTGTATGAACCAAACATCCATTACATTGTATTTTAGTACTGTGCTCAAAATGGTGAAAAACTGCATGATTTTGAGAATTTTTGGCCAGGTGGGGGGGGGTCGCCTGAACCCTGCGAACTCCCCCCCCCCTGGCTACGGGCATGTATGTATGAAGTTAGAGAAGTAGTGTACAATCTCTATGAGACATACAGTACATGGACTATAGACATTGACATATAGTCTCATCTGTGTTTTTATATTGCACTTTCCCGCTTAACCAATGCCATAACATAGATTCAATGTGATTGTTCTCAACTCGTGAATAATTGAGTTCCCCACTGGAATGTAATTTTAATTTTACAGTGTCATATTCCAATTAGTCATTTAATTTTAATTGACTGATGTACAATGTCTGTTATATCACACTGTGGTATAGACAATTGGTCATTTGTCTGACATAACTGATAGACTGAGGTATTGTTAATTGTGAAAGTTGACTGGATATTGTCATTCCATTATTGCTTTTAGTTCAATGGGAATCAACTTTGTGATTGTTCTTCTTGTTTTTCACCTTCATCCCCGTCATCTTTAGTGATCTCAGCACGTATTTGTTTGTTGGACTCCAAGAGTTCCTTAAGTTTATTAGTCAAGTCATCATTCTTCTCCTCAATGGAATCAAGACAGTTGTTCAAGTTGTCAATTGTATTGTTTAGGTTGAGATACTCTGTAAAGATAAATGATATATTTTTTTAATCACACACAATGTTGTAACACAAGATATTTAATCTTCAGTCTTCCATGGAGATGCCGTCCCTTCCTACTGTCAAAAACCTCTCGGGATGCCAGATGGTATCATCTGCAGAAATTACAACATGGGCTATCCCGATGCTGACTTGTACATGTTCAGCGACATAACATCCGCATGTTTCAGTTATCACTCTGTTTCATTGGGTGGCCTTGAAGGACTCCTTGTTATTGGGTTTTGTCTAGGATATACAGTGTGAAGTGGCGGATCCCTGGGGAGGGGGGCATAGGGCCACACCCCCTCCCCCCCACACGCCACTGATGTGTCTAGGAATTTGTCTGTGGCAAAAACTGAAGGCATTGGGCATGGTAGATCTTACGCACAGAATATAATTTGATTCAAATACATACATGTATAGTTCAACAACACCTAAGATTCAATTTATTGGCTGGGGACTATTGTCAGAGACCCTTATTACATTTAGTAAAGCAATGAGTGAGATTTTTTAGCCCGATTTTTAGACACTCCCCTTTACATTTCTGACATGATAGTGCAGCGATTCGGGAAATCAAAATATCCCATTATGTTTGGGTGTATGTACAAACCATCAATATCCTCATCTTCTATAGTTTCTGGACTTGGATCTCCCTGAATCTGTGATTGTTTGAGATCATCTCCATCACCATTCTTCCCCGCCATTATTGATACTTCCGGGTAAGACCCCCAAGTAACACAGCTTCATAAAATACAATGACACAGATCGAAAATCTCTACATTCAGTTGAATGCGTTGACTAATTGATAAATGATTTAAATTAAAAACCTGAAATTCGAAATAAATAGCACATTTACCTCCTATATTTACTTTGCTTAAACTTAGAGTGATTTGTTTAATATTGAAGGGGTCTTCACAAGGTGCGAGTTATCTATATTTCAAACCTCAGTGGCACTGTTTCAAAGAAATTATATCTTTTAGGATAGTTAAAATTATGAAAATATAAAAGCAAAGTACTGAAGTATTTCAAATGAATTATTAGTAAATAATTTATTATTGATAATCTTAAAGAATCAGAAAAACGTTTTATTCGATTCACAAAGTTGAACATTTACAACTGATCTTTCTCCGACGCCATTTTTCTTTGTTTTTGCATCTTCTGAAATACAGGTAAGAAAATCGACTAACATCCACGTTACTGAAGTATAAATTGCTTTATTTCATATATAAAATTAAATACATATTGTTACTGCATGCATTGGTTCTTATATGTGCGTTAAATAAACGTCACAGGACTTGTTTTAACCTAAAAATATATAATATAAAATATATAATTTTCAAAATAAAAATTCAAATAATTCCAACTTGAACTTAGCTTTTTCAACTCAACTCACCTCCTTTTCGTTTATTTTATCTTTTTTACATTTTCATATTTGAAATTTCAAATATTTGGCTCATTACTATGATGTTTTTCTCTTTCCTAACTTTTTTTGGTGATGAAAGCCAAGATGGCTACCAAGCACAAGTTCAAGTAAGCTTGCCATGTACTTATCATTCCACTATGTCATTTTAGATTCCCTAATCACTTACACAATGGCTGATGATAATGTGCAAGATGAATTATTGGACTACGATGAAGAGGAAGGGCAGGAACAAGTAGCTGATGGTGCCGGAGGAGATGCACCTAAGAAGGATGTCAAAGGAACCTACGTTTCCATCCACAGTTCTGGGTTTAGAGACTTCTTGTTGAAACCAGAGCTTCTTCGTGCCATAGTTGATTGTGGTTTTGAGCATCCCTCTGAAGGTACACCTTTATTGGTTTACAAACATAACTACTGCCTATTTCACGGTTTATTTGTGTTAGTAAAACCCCAAAAAATAAGAAATCAAAAGATCATTATGCACTAATATATTGAAAAATATATTCCTATTGTACATAAATGACATTTGTTTATCTTAAAATTGCTTCTAGTTTGGCTGATAAAGTGTATGGTCTCTTATATTTTGATGCTTCTTATTATTTATTTATTGTTCTATTGGCTTTACAAGATTTTTGTTAGGGTAATAATGATGTATGGATAATCCCAGCTCGCTTTGAGTGAATGCCACATTGAAGAGAACTTGTTCCGACTAGCTCACAAAGTCTTTTCTGAATTACCCTAAGGAAGCATACTGGAATACATAAGAAGAATTATAAATTGCATAGTTTGAACAACTTGAGAATATGATCTGACTTTCTTGTTTCAGTCCAGCATGAGTGTATCCCACAAGCCATCTTATCCATGGATGTTCTATGTCAGGCCAAGTCTGGAATGGGGAAAACAGCTGTGTTTGTGTTGGCAACTCTACAACAGTTGGAGCCAGTAGATGGCCAAGTAAGAGCTTATTCCAGCTTTTGTGAAAACATTTAGAAATCACAAAGGAAACCCCAGAATCTAACTAAATTGCAATCAACTAAGTGGATTATAATTTGTGTAGTTTGTAGTTTATGAAACTTCAGCATTTGTAAATGATGATCCCCTTTGACACCTCTTATGCTAGCACCCAGAGTGCGATGAATGGAACTCTTTGTGAGTAAATCTGAAGTAAATGCTGAATTTAGATTAAATAATCTCATTGACAAGTGATTGTAATTTTTTCTGGTTCTAAGTGGTAAAGGGTTTAGCCCTAGTTTGATAATCATTTATTTCTGAATTTTTACTTTACATCAGTTTCCACTAGCCAACTACTGGAGGGTTTAACCAACCAGTTAACTTGTACTTGAGTATTAGAAATTCATTCTTTCATTTGATATGTTCCAGGTGTCTGTATTGGTTTTGTGCCATACCAGAGAACTGGCCTTCCAGATTAGCAAAGAATATGAGCGTTTCAGCAAATATCTCTCTGGACTCAAGTGTGCCGTCTTTTTTGGAGGCATGTCCATTAAGAAGGATGAGGAAACACTGAAGAAGGACTGTCCCCATATTGTTGTTGGAACACCGGGTCGTATATTGGCTCTATCTCGTAACAAAGATCTCAACTTGAAACACACAAAACACTTCATCCTTGATGAATGTGACAAGATGTTAGAAGCTTTAGGTAAATGTCTTACTTTTCCAAATTGAAACTCCTTAAAGTTCAGTTTTGAGAAAAATAGAAAACAAAATTATTATATTAAAAAATGGGTAATAATGATGTATGGATAATCCCAGCTCGCTTTGAGTGAATGCCACGTTGAAGAGAACCTGTTCCGACTAGCTCACAAAGTCTTATCTGAATTACCCTTTCAAATCTTTATTACATTCTCATGACTAAATAATTGGATTGAACTTCATCCAATAAATATTTTCGTGCTTGTATTTTCCAGACATGAGGCGTGATGTACAAGAAATCTTCAGGATGACTCCACATGAAAAACAAGTGATGATGTTCAGTGCCACCCTTGGCAAAGATGTCCGACTTGTTTGCAAGAAGTTCATGCAAGATGTAATTAATAAAACTACTCTAGACGGTTCAAGTATACAAACAGGAGGTTGATCAGCGTCAGCAAGTCTATGCTACATGCGTTTACCACCTGTAAATCTCTGCGACATGTGTTTACCACCTGTAAATCTCTGCGACATGCGTTTACCACCTGTGTTTACCACTATTCTGCAGCCTCTATAATATCTATTTGCCGAGTGGAGGAATTCATTTTTATGGACATATGTGCAGCATCAATGGACAATCTATCAATAGTATCGTAATGTTTGGTTTCAGTTATCATTTGTTGTCGTTTATGGTCTGGTTATCAATGTTTGGATTTTGTCCTCTGCAAAGAAACATGCCCTTCCAAATGGCCATCCTTGAAATTTACATCTCCAAAATAGTCCCAAGATATCCACTCCAATATATCTGTCCTTTATCCCCCATGAATGCATTAATGTTCTTTGCCATGCGCAATGTTGGTCCAAAGGCTGATATCTAGCTCCATGAAATACCTAATCCCATTCATCAGAGCCATTAACCCATTTCAACAACTGCCAACAATCATATCCCCACAAATGCCAAGAATCCCCTCTCCACAAATGTCAACAATCCCATCCTCTCGAATTTACATCCTTCATCCAGAAGTTTCATTTCCCATTGTCCAATTTTGCAGAAATCTGTTTGGTTTAACTCTGTTGTCAGCTTGGTGATCATAGTTCCGTTGAAGATGTTACTTGTAAAATACTGTTCCATTGAAGTTCATCAGTCAGTATACTGCAGAAGAAGAGGAATACCTGAAGAAGAGATCCCATCCGGTTCATTCCGGGAACCGCCGAGGTGGGATAGGATCGCGATCTGTTGCTGCAAAGTTTGTTCACAACTCATTGTCTTGGTTTGAAAGTGGATAAAGTTAGTCACCAGTGCTTCACTATCTTCTCTATGGTCTGTTAGTGTCTTCTTGTGTCGTCTTGGTCCTTCATGGTTGCTGTTGAGGTGTTCCAAAAGAGGCCATACTCAGATGTTATTCGGAGACCTGTAGCAGCTGATGGCAGTCACACAGGTGGTTTACTCAAGGGAGAGTCGAGTAGTCGCTAACCAGATGGGGACAACTAGTGGGCAACTTCAAGTTAACTCGCCATGGGGGAGAATACACAACACACACCAGGCTATAATCACTAACAAACAATGCTCAATAACTGAACAATAACACTTTTATGTGGCCTATACTTAGTATAATCTGCCCACATGTTCATTGAGCATTGGATAAAATAGTCAACCTTGGTCAAAATAGTGTAACTCTAGTAGAATTGAAGCTTAAAGGGCAGCAAAATAGAAAGCACAACTGAAACCAGTCCTTGTTTAAATAATAGCAAATCAATAAGAGATCTCTTCATTTAGTTTGTAGTTTTCATACTTTGTGTTATTTTGTGATTTCTGGGTCTTGCATCCATGTTTTGATATAACCCTATATTTCAGCCCATGGAGGTATATGTGGATGACGACTCCAAGTTGACGCTCCACGGTCTACAGCAGCACTATGTCAAACTCAAGGACAATGAGAAGAACCGCAAGCTCTTCGAACTTCTCGATGTACTAGAGTTCAATCAGGTGCAGTATTTCATGTTATTTTTAAACAAAAGGCATATTGTGACTTTTTAATAATAATGTATGGGTAATAATGATGTATGGATAATCCCAGCTCGCTTTGAGTGAATGCCACATTGAAGAGAACTTGTTCCGACTAGCTCACAAAGTCTTATCTGAATTACCCATGGTACAAGATCTTTCAAGTAAAACACAGTTGAGTTATAGTCACGATCATATAGTCATTTCAGAGTTATCTCTAATACTTTGCAATATTTGTACACCTGAACCAATTTTTAACACACTTTTAACAAGTATTCTTTCAGAGTTGTTTTGATAAGAGACGTTTTTCAAGATTTGGAAAACCTAATGTAGGATTGATGAATTCCCCAAACAGGTTGATATTTTTTAATAAAAAGCCATTCATGTTTCTGATTTCAGGTGATCATCTTTGTTAAGTCTGTACAGAGATGTGTGGCCCTTTCCCAGTTACTTGTGGAGCAGAACTTCCCTGCTATTGCAATACATAGAGCTATGCCCCAGGAAGAAAGGTAAGTTTCATCTCATTAAATAATGTTAATGTTCATGAGCTTCAGTCATTAAATTACTTTCATTTGTTAAATGCTAGTCTATTACAAATGTTTGAGGTTTAAACAATGACTTGCTATTTTTGAACAGAAAAAACATTTTCTGTATGTTGGGTAATAATGATGTATGGATAATCCCAGCTCGCTTTGAGTGAATGCCACATTGAAGAGAACTTGTTCCGACTAGCTCACAAAGTCTTATCTGAATTACCCAATACATTAAACTTTTTTTGAGTTCGAAGTCGGAGTTTTACTCCATTGAGAAAGTAATGTGATTGGTTAAGAAACTAATGTTTGTGTTTCAGGTTGTCACGGTACCAGCAGTTCAAGGACTTCTCAAAGCGCATTCTCGTGGCAACCAATCTGTTTGGTCGTGGTATGGACATTGAGCGTGTCAACATTGTTTTCAACTATGACATGCCAGAGGATTCTGATACTTACCTTCACAGAGTAAGTAGATGTTTCATCAATTATATCGATTCATATTCTAAACACCAAGTGGCTTTCATAGGTAAGAGAAGCCCATCTTTGTAGGGAAAACACTTTATAATCACCAGCTTCATAAAGTAATGACATACAATCACATCAAGACAACAACTATTTTTCAAGCACAATAAAGGGACCAGCATTATGCAAATCTTTGTCCAGATAGGAAATACCATCATATGACCAAGTATTGGCGAGAAATAATAAATCCACTTCAGCATTTGTAAATGATGATCCCCTTTGACACCTCTTATGCTAGCACCCAGAGTGCGATGAATAGAACTCTTTATGAGTAAATCTGAAGCAAATGCTAAAGTAACAGAAATATATGATATATCTTTTATCAAATCCCAAAATCTGTCTACCTGAAATACTTTTTTAAAAATAAAAGGGCGCACAAGGCTTAAAAATGTCTCTTCAGAGTTTGTCAAATATTAGATCTTGTACTTAATGCATTTTAGGTTGCCCGTGCTGGTAGGTTTGGTACCAAAGGTCTTGCTGTGACATTTGTGTCTGATGAGACTGATGCTAAAGTTCTCAATGAAGTCCAGGACAGGTTTGAAGTGAACATCACTGAACTCCCAGATGAGATTGACATATCTTCATACCGTAAGTACCAATGTAGATTATACATTGTAGAAATATAATTCTGAATATTATTAGAGACATTATTCTTCTCTGTAAGGTGAGAAGTGGAAATTGAATTGAGTTTATTTCTACATTTGATAAATAAATTGTGTTATACATATTTCTACACACTCTTTACTTCCTTGATTCAGAATTGCTAAAATGTAAAGATATAAGTTTTAAATAACATTTGTAAATGATGATCCCCTTTGACACCTCTTATGCTAGCACCCAGAGTGCAATGAATAGAACTCTTTGTGAGCAAATCTGAAGCAAATGTTTCATGAAAAAGTCTCGTAACTCATGCCATATCTTTTTGCAAAGTACCTTTTATGCTTTCAAGTTCTTTGAATATAAATGCAAACTCTTAAAAAGTTATATTTTGTTTCCAGTTGAAGGCCGATAAATCCCCCTCCCTCACAGGAACAAACAGTGACACTGATATGGATCCAGTTAAATCTCAAATGACCATAATTTTAAACTGTATCATACATTTGTACATAAAAGAAATGGGATATAATATATCAACTGGGTTACATTACATCTAGTGTAGGACCACACTACTTATCATGCAAGATATTTCATCGTGCAACTCATACAAGAATCTTCATAATTGTACAAAAAAGAGGAGCAAATAACATCTGCTTGGAGGGTAACTTTACTCGGAAACATTGAAATTATTTTCTTGGACACATAGAGGGCTTCTTACTCAGAAACATTAACCAGTGATAATTGATGTATACAGCGTATTGGAAATTTGTTTAATGATATGTTTTAAAGTGGAAAGAACAATCAAAAACAGTGTATATTCTGATCTTACAATCAGCTAGAACTTTTCATTTTTGCTCAAATTATGTGCGAGTGATCAATAAATGTGCTTCGTTTTAGTTATAATTAATTATCTTAGGACAAGAAGTCGCATTCAGTTTTGTATGGTAGATGTTGGGTTTTATTCATTGTAAGATAATAAATTATTCTTTATATTGTTTGTAAGAGATGATGTATTGGAAAAATGTATACTTAAAGAAATAATAAATATTTTGTAAATAATGAAATATTTTTCTTCTAGATTGTATTCTGGTGTCTTTCATAGGTGACATTGTTACCTTTTTCATAAAACACTTAGTATTACAATGACGGTAGTAGTAGACTAATAAACCAACTTTACAATACCTGTATTTCTCAAATGTAACTTCAGTGATAGAGACCTACTTCAATAAGTCTTAGAAAGTTGTAGGTGTCCACTTCTATTGGACAAAAGATTTTGTATTGGTGATAATCTTTCCTCAAAGTATTGGGAGGTGTTGACCTAATCGTTTAACTACTAAGCAACAAGCTACTCTTGTGAAAGATATTTTGAAAACCATTTCATCTTTAAGTCTTAAGAAATAACCTGAGCATCATTCTAATCTTGTAGAGGTTATTTACTTAGAAGGATTGAATATGGGTTTTATGCAGAGACGAGATATTTCCAGAGGACAAGAGAGAAATTGCGAGAAATGAAAATAAATAGTAAACCAGTAAATAAGCTTTTTGTCCAACGATATTCATAAAATAATATTAGGTCAGATTCAGTATGATACAAAAAGCTGAATGAAATAGAAAGCATTGTTTGGCAGAATTTTCCAAGGGGTTCTGGGAGGTGAATATTATATTTGTGAGAGGGATTCGGAGGGACAAAATCAATCATGCATATTGATACTGACAAATGTAAGCCTTTTTGATTTCTCTCAACTAATCATTGTGAACGCCTTGTATTGTGTTTGTTGCATCTCTAAACAAACTCATAAAGAATGTGTTGGATGCAGTGAAAATGTGTTAACAAATTCAAATATTTTAATAAGTAGTGTTTTCAATATTCACTGTTCCACAGCTTTAAGAAATTCTGAAGTTTTCGACAGACCACCGACTTCAGCTAAATTAAGATGAATCTTGATTCCAAAAGTTTTGCCAAGCAAACTAATAAAACTATGATTGTAATAAAACACAAATAAATGCCCAAACACCCGCAATATTAGAGAATCTGAAAGAAAACGGCTCCATTTCGAATGACTCTAACTGAAGTTGATGGGTACAGCTTCAGTTATAGTCATTCTAAGTGAAGCGGTTTTCTTTAAAATACATGTACACCCATATCACGGTTGTTAGAGCATGTGGTTTGTGGTTGTTTACAATCGTAGCTTTATTAGTTTGCATGGCAAAAGTTTTGAATCCAGATTCAACTTAGTTTAGCTGAAATCGGAGGTTTGTCGAAAACAAAAGAAATTCAGCAACCACCTTGAATGACGCTTACTGCAGTTAGAGTCATCCAGCTGTGGAACAGTGAATATTGCAGAAATAACATTCATGTTTTCCTTTTCAGATAAGTGAATGATCTTTCATTCCAATTCACAAAATATAAAAATTTGGCTCATTCAATCGCAATTAGTCCATCACATTCTAAATGTTCAGGAATGGTTGGTGCCTATTGCATTGGGATCTTAAGTGCAACAAGGCATTAACATACAAAATGACACCACCTGCCATATGTTACAGATGCCAAACACCAACCAGAGCCACAAAAAGTTGGAGGCATAATCAGAATAAGTCACCACTTTTGGTGGTGACATAAAAATCAATGATGACAACCTTCTTGTGACAGCACAAAAGTAACAAAACAATTTGCACTGCAGTAATACTTTATTTTACACGTCCCACTCCAAGCCACTTTCAGCTATATAACACAGGTTTGTACATAATATTCAAAGATGATCTCTGAGAGTGATCATTGATTGGCAAGATGCAATGTTCATTTTATCAAGTGAAAGAAGTACAGCACTATCAAAATTCAAAATGCAACTACTGACTTGTTCAATTGTATTAGGGCTTTCAGATTACAGTCATAACAGATTCATGACCTCATGAATGCATTTAGTAAGTTGACATTTCTAAAGAACCATTGAATAACCAGATAACCCATCGTATAAACGCTATAACAGTAACAAAAAATCTAGCCAATTGAAAATGTTTTGAAAATATTAAATTGATAGCTCTTTTTTCAGAGGTATAAAAAGAGTATATGTATTCTTTCTGCAATAGTGTAGTAAAATGTCAAATCAAATATGAACTAAAAAGCTTCTAGTATTCAAAGGTAAATCTTGGAAGATCATTTTTCTCTGAAATTGTTGTCAGGTCATAAACCTTTTGATGCGAGAGCTATCATTTGAAAATATGGAGATTTTTCAAAGCAAGAACACTCTTTGGTTGGATATATAGCCTAAATACCCTTTCATGATTTTTTTACAATTAATTATCCATAAAAATCTGAAATATATGTTGATGTGAAGTCGTGAACTGAACATAACTAGAAAACTGCAACTTCACGGAGTAGCAAATCCCACCAAACAAAACATGTTTCTTAAAAGACCTCATCACCACGATGTGATGTGTTGCCATTTATTAAATTATTTTTTACATGGCAAAATCTCACCACCTGTTTTCACACATCATGGTCCACTAATTTGTTGCCATGGTATTCAAGTTTTCACCTTGACAAACGGACTAACACACAGACATATGAATGCATGGACGGACATCCTCTCTATATCCCTATAATCTGCGTTTGGTTGGATAATAATATCAAAAGTTGAGTATCTATAACTGCATTGTAGCCCTACATTACACAAGTTCATTTAATAAATAATTTCCTAAACTCGTCCTAACATCAATTGGGTTTATTGAGTGGGTTTGCCCCCTGGTGTGAGCTAACAGTTTGTTTCATATCATAGTACCACCTCCTGATATCTGAATTCTCTAAGAGATCCTGGAATGACTCGCATCCCTCAATGGCAGATAATACTCCATAGACAGACTGGAAAAATACAAAAATATGCTTTCAATATTTAGTTTAAATTACTTCATCAGCCCTTGGTGTCTGTTAAAATGACACCAATAACCATATGATAGCAGGATTTACCGTTTGGTCTATTCTTCATGTAACAGGCTGAAGAGGCGAGAACAGAGACTTGAAGATAAGGGATTTTACAGTCTTTATCATACATTTTAAATCTAACAAGGCACACAGTGACCAACAATGTACCTGAATATTAAGAAAAATACAACTAATATTAAATGAGCACTTACTATGTCAGCCAGGTTAGGGATGTCACCCCCCATAAACTTCCTTTTATTGCCTACAGCTTTGGTCCAAGTCTTACATGACTCATATAGGGATTCTCTCACGTCATCTTTCAACATGTACCTTGAACAAATGATAAAAATAATTTTATTACAAATATGTATTGTATTAATGCTCGGTGTAAAAAATTCACATTCACACATTCTTCAAATGCATTACCATACTGAGAAAAATATGTCATAATTACTACAGGATTATAGAATTATAAACATGCATTTAAAATTGCACTTCATATTACAATACAACAAGTTCAGTACATCAAAAATATGCTGTACACCAAAAGTACTCCCATAGCCATAAGGTATATGCCAAATAAAATGTATCATATGGGATATGAAATCTGAAGCTAAGAATTCAAGTTATCCCCCTGACACACTGACAGACATAGACATTCCTTAAAGCAGATATGAAATGGTATTTTTAACCTAAAGGAATCAATATAATTTTTTGATAGATGTATTTGGACATGTTTTCTCATCAGTAGTGTGAAAACTATTTCACTCTAACGATCGTTATAGCTGCTTAATAAGCAATATTCGAATTGGTTGTGACGTTATTGGCCCCCACGTGATCTCTCACTGGTCCCCACGTTTTGGTCCATTAGATCATGACGTCATAATGCCAAAATGTTTTGTTATTTGTTTACACAACAATCCTATATTTTGTATATGACGTTACTAATCACGTGGGGGCCAATTTGATTTATCAGTTAGTTTTATTTCGTTATCTATGACCGTTAGCAGCTATCTAACATTTATTTCATAATGGCTATCGCAAGAACTCTACGGTGGGCTTACAATGGAGAAAACCACATCTTTGTAGCTGCAAGTTGAGAAAAGCTATTTCAGTTGTCCTTTAATTTAAACTTTCAATAGGATTATAATTTTTCAGACAAAAATAATATTTTTACTTTCTTTTCAACAATTTCCCAACCAGGTACATGGCAGCAGCTCCGACATACATAATCACAGTGCGTTCAAACGTGGAAAAATTCTGTTCCCAATTTCCGACCTCATCAAAGTATTTAAATGCACGCAAAGCTTCACTTGCTGTGCGATAGATATTAGGAGATAAGACATGGACAAGATCATTGTCAACCCATCGTCTCCACTTTCTCTCTTCCCTGTAAGCAGATATGATCATCTTGTATCATTAACATTTGTGGACAATTGACAAGGTGAGTGTAAATAAGTCCAATGAAAGTCCAATAGTAGTGCAACATGGATACAAAAAGAGTGCAACAAATATGCAATTAATCCTTGCCTGTAACTGTCTTGTTCCATGGTACTTGGCTTAATAAGAATATGGAACTCTGAACAGTCACACTTTTCACCCAATTAGATTGTAAATATATTGATTCAGACCAAAAGACAATTGCCTTAAATTAAATATCAGTATTAGGCATTTTTCTAATTTAATATGTATTACTCTAAGCCTATATCATCTTAAAATAAAGAAACAAAAATTCTTACTTTCTTTGTATGTCTGTTGAACTTTTGATGTCTTTATTCGCCACACCATACATTACAAAATATCTATTGGGATATTCCAAGATGGTTTTACGTCCTTCCTTGGACTCCATAACGGGGAAGTAGTCGACTAATGTTGAAACCTTCTGCGTGCTGTCAAAAAGGTGTGACTCCAGGAGACTTATGATGACAGAAGAGTCATTGATTTGCTGGAAATTAAATAATTTACTCAGGGTTATTACCACAGAATGTAGGGTTTTAATTTTCAATAATCACACACATGAACCATGCAGGCACATCCTCCTAAGCAGGTATTCAGAAGCCGTACCTCCTTCTTCGCCCTGCTATAACCAATTTGGAAGCACCCGATCAAACTGAATCACGTGATCTAATTATGTGCAATGACTTATACATGATTTCTGTCGCAGTGTTGCGACAGCCAAACAGATAGCGAGTTCTTAATTGGGGATATGCTAACTGCTTATCGCAGGGGGTAAAAAGAAAGAATGTATTCTGGATTTTGAAGCCCTGTGATCGGAGGATGTGAAGGCAAGACTCAATAAGTTCATTTAACATGTTAAAAGTGATTACAATATTCTTATCATGTAAATGATTTTATGAATTCAATATTTAACTTGATTGTTATGGTTGGTTTCTGACAGTTTGTAAGTACATGTAGATCAACAAATCTCCGTGAACATATACCTACCAAGGTTTACCTTGATTGTACCTATGTTTTTATTGTTATATCAACTTTAAGACATACTTTTAATCAGTTACATACTATTACAATGAGGATGTTTGTGTAGAAACTTAGGAGGGTAATCTAACTTACTACATATCCATCTATATCCTTCCCTTCACATACGAGAACAGGCACCTTCTTGTACTTGGACCATTTTGTCTGTGTACGCCAAACAGAATTCACTTCAATGACATCATAGGAGAAGCCATGGTAGTCTAGGTATGCTCGTACTTTACAACAGAATGGGCAAGTTTGGTACTGGTATAGAGTCAGCTTTAGCCCGGAGTGATCAGCATCATTTTTAATCTAAAATGACAAACATGCAGTTGTTATCATTGAGTTCATTATGATTTAAAAAAAACAAGTGCACATCAAGAGATATTATGGTAATCGAAAGAAGAATGTAGAAAGGTAAGAGTTTACCACTACTCTAGTACACAGAAATTGTTTTAAAGAGTGGGTAGTGCACTATCATTATAAAGAGTTAATTGATAAGGTGGTAGAACCCCATGTATCTACCAACATGAATGAGCCATCTGCTGTATTAGTTTATTGATACAGTAATGCCTGTTGCTGATGCTCTATAATGAGACCAAAATATTGAAGAATTACTGAACTATGGTATGTAAAATCTACAAACAAAGAAGAGAATTTTACATGCGTTATAGGTAAGTGACAATCACATTTAAAATCTTATATTTCAGTTTTGATTGACTTGACAGAAAAGAAGTAAATATTCCTGTTCATAAATTGCAAATGAGCAAAAGCAAAACATAAATGTAATGAATATGTTTAAAGTTATGTGTCTTATACAAGGCTGAAATTAGAGAAGGTACATTGTAAATCAAAAGGATTTGATAGCAAATTGCCATTATGGCCCAGCTGTGGTGGCTTAAGCCTTTATAGCTCAGTTCGTAGAGCATCAGTCTGGATCCAAAGGTTCTAAGTTCAATTCCCACACAGGCACTGAATTTAGCACACTTTCTTTCAATTTCATTATCTGGCTTGTTACATTATGCTCTTTAGTTAGTCATTACCCTGGGGCTGCCGCGGGTCATTACGTTGGTGTCAAAGTGGGATCAAAGCATTGGTTGTATCATTTGAGCTTGTGTGTAGTACGTCACTGCAAGGGATAGCAGGGCTGACCACGAGGGTGTGGTCCTTTCAAAGGAGGATAGTGAAGGCTAGTGTTAGTTTGTCATTCCCCTGGGGCGTCATTGGGTCATTACAGGATTTGCAGGACAGAGAGTATTACAGTGGGGGACAAAAATAAAACTCAACGTTCACAAGTTGTCACAATGAGCTAAATTCCAAGTTTCGTCTCTCAAACTCTCCCAAGCGGTAGAAAAATAATTCCCGTTCACTAAAGTAGCACAATAAATGAATCCAAAGCTTCATACCTGCAAATAATGGATAAATCCCTACCAAATCGAACGAATGTTTTCATGAATCGCAATGTTTGTTATCCAAGGACGGTTGACTCCCAGAATGCAACATCAGTTAACCATATTTACTCGTGACAGTTTTCAAAATGGTGGAACAGCATTTTGAAAGCTGGCATGTGTCATGTTGCATTCTAGGAGCCAATCCTCCATTCCGGCGCAATCGGGCGACAAAATCACCTCAACATTTGAAGAGTCGGCATAACATGTGAATATCTACTTCAACTTTTTAAGTTCTTATTTGTCATTATGGACACAAATTCCACTATATTTGGACTTAATAAGACGGAAAAAATAGAGCACTGAATACACTGAGGTAAGAATTTATTACATGTGCGACAGCATGTGATTTTCATAGCTTTTGTAATTCTTTATGATCCCCACTGTACATTGTATCATTTTTATCTACTTACTGATCTTGATGGCTTGAAATAAGGTCTGTCAACTTGAGCTTTAACCTCTGAACCATTATTTAATTTGTAATTTACATATGCTCCTGCTAAAACACCAAGTCCCAATCCTGCAAAAGAAATTCCAATTTTTTGTTTGACGTTTCCTCTCCGTTTTTGGCCACCTTCATTTGTTTGATCTTGTTTTACGCTGGCACTTGTACTACATGAGTTATGATGTATCAGCACTGGTGAATCGACACGGAATAATGTTGAGATAGGCGAACTTTTGTTGAATAAAGACCTAATTTGAAATATTCTCATCGCTTTCATGGAGGTCGCCATCTTGGTTATGAAAGACTTGAATGCTGGGAAAAATATTATCATTTTTCAAAATTATAGAAAATATTAAGGTAATAAGTACGACTGAACGTAAAATACTTTACAAGGATTTTGTAAATATCATTTATTTGGTATATAAAGACCGCATTGCTGAGGAATACGGTCTAGAACATCTACTTCCGGAATGTCATGACCCACTTCCGTCTTGTGCAACACGCGAATAAATATTTTGAAAATTTCCAGAATAAGGTAAATATTACATCAACAGGTACAAAATCTATATAAATGTTATAACAGTAAGTAAAATCAATATGTATTCTTCTCAAAAAATATTATTGATCTCGGATATTTACAGGAATGGCTGATATCGAAGCCAAAATGGAAACTCAAAATTCTGCCGGTGAAAATCCTGCCGGTGGGGAGGGGAGTGAACCACCCAAGACCGAGGCTCAGTTGAAGAAAGAGGCTAAAAAGAGAGAAAAGCTGGAGAAATTTAAAGCTAAGCAAGAAAAGGAAAAACTTTTGAAGGAAAAAAAAGCGGCAGATGGGGGAGAGGTAAACTCTGTTAAGCATGATAAAAGGCAAGAAGTTTAGTTAGAAATAAAAGAGTTATCTCATGAATGGGACCCTTACATAGCTCCTAAAAGGTAGAAGACACTAAATGGTGTAACACTATAAGCTGAATTTTGTCCACATAGAGCATGTGCACAATACTAAAGACATGTAAAATTGAACTGTCAAAAGAACTGAAATATACTTACCAGCTCGCCTCTTCCGGAAGTTATGATACGTTATGGTGTAACTACGGTAATTAATTTTAAAATATTGAAAAAATCACAAAATACAAGTTCTGAGGTATATATCGCCATTTTTAAGCGAATTAGCCCATACTATGACTATATATTCGCACCCCCATATACAGATATATATAAACTTCATCTTCACAATAAATTGAGCTTCTTTCAAATTTCCATTTTTTGAGATAAGTGCCATTTTCTTACAATTCAAGCCGTAAAAATAGTTGGAAAGTGCTTCCCAGTTGAGGTTAATGGCTTTTATACTTACATTAATGTATGGAGCACTTAAAATGTACTTAGAATCGTGTAAATAGCTCTATTCTGTGAGATTTATTTTTGTTTTTATTTTTATATTTTTCTCACCTCATAATTGAAGAGCTCCGCTGTTGATTTACATTCAGTTACACGTATTTCCTTGAAAATTCGCCATGATTGGAACAAATGATGGTTGGTTTATGTTTTATTCATTTAGTTTGTATTTGAATCTAGCTACTTAAACACAAAACATGTCTTCATGTTATGCTAAAGAGCAAAGATCGCGAATTCTAGGTGAAGCCAATTATTTTGCACAAGTCATATCCTGATTGCATCATAGTTACTTTGTACTAGTCACATCCTGATTGCATCAGCCAATTCACGTGATTTACAGTTTAAACATGGTTTCAATATACATGTTATACTACTTCCGGGTAGGGTAGTGTTTTTTATACTTTAAAAACGAAGCCATTTCGATCAGTTTTTACAATCCTTGGTAGAACTGAGAGGTATTACAATACATATTTAAATTAATACACATGAGTGTATTTGATGAACTCTCATTAATAAAACCCACAATAATATCTTTTTTATTCACAATTTCATGTCATTGTTTCTAACAAGTCACCTCTTTCTTTCTTTTCTTTATTTTTGTCAACAGTCAAATCGGAATTTAAAACGTGGTTTCTTTACAAGCTCTGCTTCTGTAAATACTAAATAACATGAAAAATGTTAAACCTTACATCCTACACTTATTTGATATGAAATAGGCGATCATTGATATCATTTTTGTGCTGTTAAGTGTGGATCTTTTAATTTTTTAGTCAAACTTGATCGCTGATCTCTGTCGATGTGACGTCACGCATTAAGTATGCACGCATGGGCAGTACAATACATAAGGCAATATGGCGTCTTAGGCCTATACATGAGCCAGAATGGAGGTCTGCAAGTTGAAATGAATATGTTTGTTTATGCATCAATCGATCACACATATAATCCAGACAATCTTTCAAATCATATACTTATCATTGTAATGGATTTATTTATTTTGTGAGCTAACGTTCCCTTTAATTTTCATTGGTGAAGCAATGATTTTACCTAAAATGAGTCCCTGTCTCCTTTGCATAGTGATATTTAAAAATCGAGAAGCAAAACCTATGTTGAATATACTGTGTATTGATGAAGTTTTTATATAGCCTAGGGGAACTCAAAAATATTGTTATTATATCGGCAAATTCGCTCGAAAATGGTTGTACACCCTAGAAATTGAATGTTGTTGATTTTTTCAATATTTTAAAATTAATTACCGTAGTTACACCATAACGTATCATAACTTCCGGTAGAGGCGAGCTGGTGAGTAATTTCTATTATTTTGACAGTTCAATTTTACATGTCTTTAGTATTGTGCACATGCTCTATGTGGACAAAATTCAGCTTATAGTGTTACACCATTTAGTGTCTTCTACCTTTTAGGAGCCATGTAAGGGTCCCATTCATGAGATAACTCTTTTATTTCTAACTAAACTTCTTGCCTTTTATCATGCTTAACAGAGTGTACGTTTCCAGTTTGATTCATTCTCAGAGGCAGACCACAGACGGAAACACTCTTCTGACGTCAACTGAATACTTTTCTGGAAAATAATGAGGCTGCCCATCAAGTCATTTCAACATCCATACACATTCTTCTTATCAACGGTCATCTCGGTTCCATATCCGTCATTTCAGTTCCATATCTGTCATCTCAGTACCCATACTTTGATAGTAATAAAATAAAATAGTTCAAGGTGAATATGAGTCCAAAAACCTTAAAAATTGGCGCCCCTACCAACAAAAGAACCCATCTGACGACGTCCCAGTTTTTGAAAAAAACGGGAGGCTCATGAATTTCACCGAAACTTCACACATATAAAGATAAACTCATGATCTAGTCAAATCGGCATACCTAGTAAATATCCGACCCATTGTTTTCATAAAAGAAACAAGAACATTTTTAGCTCGTCCAACATCTGTCCTCATCTCAGTCGTTGCTGAAATTGTCTCAACTATCTAATCAAATACTGAGGGCCCTCACTTTCATTTGCCAATCAAGTCCACAATTTCTATAGACTCATTACAAACATTGGTACTGTACATGTAAACTTCTGAAATTTTGAACAGATTAAAACTAATAAATTAAGCTAATTAAAATCACATACCTGTGACATTTTAACTCTGATCATACAAATGATATCTGCTATAAGCTAAATTGTATACTTTCTAGAATCTGAGTCCCATTCATTTACTGTCTGTGATTTTTGTTTTTGTAGAAGAAAAAGGAGAAGAAAGAGAAGAAGGAAAGGGTAGCTGCAGTTTATGACAAACCAACCAAGGAAGGAGAGAAAAAAGGTGAATGCTAATTAATTTGTTGATAGATTCTCAACATTTGGGATGTCCCCAGGTAATTCAACACTTGGCAGAGTACTCATCTCCACTTTGATGTATCTATATTTTAATATTTGTTTACGTTTCTTGCATTTAGATGTATCTGGAGACATGCCTGATGCCTATAGTCCTCAGTATGTGGAAGCTGCCTGGTACTCCTGGTGGGAGAAAAGTGGATTCTTCAAGCCTGAATATGGAGTAAGACTATTTTATTTTATAGACTTGAATTCACTTCCAGTTTTACAACATGAAATGCTTTAATATCATTAAAATTATCATTAACTTTAAGGTAGATTTGCATGGTCAGTTTTTTTTATTGTTACCATAAATCTTGGAGTAGTGGAGCGATTTTGTTCATATTTGGTATGTGAATAATTTAAGCATGGCACAATGTCTAATGACATTTTGGGTAGTAGGCGGCCATTTTGAAAAATGGCCGCCATTTTTACGTGTGTTATTTAACATTTTTTACTGTAAGTCACAAAGTATTGGAGCGATTTTGTTCATATTTGGTATGTGAATACTTTAAGCATGGCACAATGTCAAATGACATTTCGGGTAGTAGGCAGCCATTTTGAAAATTGCCGCCATTTTTACGTGTGTTATTTTACATTTTTTACTATAACTCACAAAGTATAAGAGCGATTTTGTTCATATTTTATATGTGAATACTATAAGCATGGCACACTGTCTAATGACACTTTGGGTATAAGGCGGCTATTTTGAAAAATGGCCACCATTTTTATGTTTTTTACTATAACTTGTAAATTAGTGGAGCGATTTTGTTCATATTTGATATGTGAATACTTTAAGCATGCCACATTGTCTAATAAAACTTTGGGGAGTAGTCGGCCATACTTCTTCTGATGACAACTTGGCTAGTGATGATTTCTGTTCGATGGGATTCGCTACGCTTTGGCGTTGCCGTTGTTCTTTAATGTTTTAGATAGACATTCACTCAAAATGGTAGAATATTTAGTTCAAAATCAAAACATGCCGATTAAAAAGAATTGCATTGATATTTCCTTAAATAACAAATTGTTTTAATGAGTGTGGAACTATCTTAAATTCCCTGATTATATTTTAAATTCTTACACATTTAGAGAACTAAAGCGAATGAAGAGAACCCAAAGGGGAAGTTTATGCTTGTTATCCCGCCACCCAATGTAACAGCCTCACTACATCTGGGTCATGCACTGACTAATTCTGTACAAGATGCAATCACTAGGTGGTAAGTCTGCCTGTTTGTTTGTTTGTTTGTTTGTTGCTTAGTGAGTAAGAGGGAGGTCACAATGTGATTACCTCATTTAAAAAGTTGATCAGCATTATGCTTACAGTTAACATAAATGTGTATGTTTGTTTGTTTGTTTTTATATATAGGATTTAATATAAGAATATAGAATGTACATAGCATGTTTTATTGATAATACTACTATTCTTTCTAGGCATCGTATGCGTGGTGAGACTACTCTATGGAACCCTGGCTGTGACCACGCTGGTATTGCAACACAGGTTGTCGTAGAGAAGAAACTCTGGCGGGAACAAAGCCTGACACGTCATGATTTAGGACGTGAAAAATTTGTAGAAGAAGTGTGGAATTGGAAAAATGAGTAAGTGAAGTGAATTTTGGCTCACCACGTTAGCTATGGAATCACCCACTCATCTTTTTGTCTGTCTTGCTATCCGTTAACAATTTTTGGACAAATGAAAACTGCCTTTTGTCTAAACTATGTTCATATCCATTTTATAGTGTTCATAATTTTTCAGATTCTGAGAAGTGTGATTGACTTCTTCTAATTCAAATGTTCAACTTTCAATAAAAAATATCATAATGTAACATATTTGTATAGACATGTAATGGTGCTTTTTTATGTACAATGTATTGAAAGTATTCAAATTAATTCATTCTTGTTTGTTTCAACGCTGCAGAGTGCTGTTATGTACTTTGACTGTTCTTTTTATTTGTGTAATAGATGTACATGTACTCATATAGTTCAATGATTTTGTATTCATAGGAAGGGGGACAGAATCTACCATCAGCTGAAGATGCTAGGAGGTTCCTATGATTGGGACAGAGCCTGTTTTACTATGGATCCAGTAAGTAATGCATTGAACAATACAAAGTCAGTGCTCTTCCCTTGCCCCCCCCCCCCCCCTATCTTGCTTTGTCTGTGTCATTGTGTTTTATTATAGAAAGGGGACTTGATACAGGGAATTGATTCAAGTGAACCATGCATTAGGAAGTAAAGTACAATTTTATAGGGACACTGGTTGTTTTCTCAACTCACAATACCCTATGTGCACCCATACTGACAGTCTTAAATTGTTTTGTCTGAGAAGGAAAGCATGCTTTCAAAACCAGGGCGTGCATAAGGTCTCAAGATCTAGTCCCACAATGCTCTTATTTCCCTTCACTGTTATGAAGAGATCAGTTAGAGATATGACACAAGACTTACAAAATGATGAAAAGTCAAACATGTTTTACTAATAATAAGTTCAAAATTATGTATATGACAAATGATAACATGCAGCAGTGTTTTATCTCATTTGGAATTATAATTATGAAACATATATTTCAGAAATTGAGTCGAGGTGTAGTGGAAGCTTTTGTCCAGATGCATGAAGATGGTACCATCTACCGTAGCAATCGACTGGTCAACTGGTCATGTACGCTCAACTCTGCTATATCTGACATTGAGGTAACTATATTAGTATATGATGCACATATATTTTAGTCTAGCTACAAGACCTTGTGACCCTCTACACACCATAGGGGGAGGAGGGTCCAAAGTCTTGAAGCAACAGGGTGGTCCAAAAAAGTGAACCCCTGCAACAGGCTATATTTTCCTTAATACTTGCATGAATAGACTCATATTATCATATGTTGTAGAGAAAGGTCTAAAACTTTGAAGAAATTACAAGAGTTTAGCAAACATGCCTGAAAATTAGATATTGTGCAAAATTTTAACAACGTCATTCAAGGAAATTGTTGAAACACATAGGATGATCTTAAACAGCTTTCAGTTAGAGATACAAGTTTAAAACCCTACCATATGACAAGAGGGACGCTATTTAAGCAGAAAACACATTTCACACTTTCATTGATCATTTTGAAGCAGTTTTAACCGTTCAACAGTTCAGGGGTATGTTACCTACACCAACAGTTAGAGGGGGCCTCTTATGGAAGGAAGTTGCCCCCTGTAACCAAGAATCTGAAAAGCCCTTCATCAAATATCTTTAAAAAATCAAAAGAAAATCCAATATTCAATGTTTTGAACCATATTTCATTAGAATCGGTCCATGATTTATTGACATTTCAAGATCATATAGGGGTATGTTCGCGATTTCACTGAAAATGTTATCGTCTATGAAAACTTAGAACATTTCTTTGGATCACAAGAACTTTGCAACTAACAAAGGTAGGATGCTAGTTTTAAGCCATAATGTGCGGGATTCAAGATTGAACAAAGTGAGAAAATATTAGTTCTTTAAGACTGGAGCTTAAAAAATGTCAGGGAAGGGTGTCGAAGGGTTGAAGAATCGCTGATATTGAAAATCACATTTTATCCATTTTTAGTAATATTTGGTTAGGGCTTATAACTTCTGCAAATTTCAAGACTAAGAAAAATATATGGTGCCAACATAAATTTTAGACCTTCCTCTACAACATATGAAAATATGAAAGAATTCCTGCTAGTAATAAGGGAAATATGTCCCGTTGCAGGGGTTCACTTTTTTGGACCACCCTGTAGTTTAAAAACTAGTATTTTTAGCTTCAAATAAGTAATGCATGCTGTATAATTGTGATCCCTTTGATAATGGTTATAACCATGGAAATATTGAATTGTTTGATCTTAACCATATTTGTGATATTACTCTCCAAGAAATGGAACTTGATTTGCTTGTTTCTGCCAGGTGAACAAGAAAGAAATACCTGGTAGAACAATGCTTGCAGTGCCAGGGTACGAGGATAAAGTGGAGTTTGGAGTCCTCGTATCATTTGCCTACCCTGTAGAAGGATCAGGTAAGATAACATTTTTAGATAATGAAAGAGTTGTGAAACATAAGTCATCTGGGGAAGGAAAGTGGGATTGGAGGCTGGACAACTAACGAAATAAACATTCTCAACATGAAAATCAGCATATGAAATCATTGGATTTTTCACAGTTGGTGGAATTACACCATGCGTTTTAGAAAGGCGCCTAAGGTTTTAACCCGGTTTGAAAAATAGGTGTAATCACGATTGTGGTTTTACAAAAGCGCTTTTCCAAAACTCCTAGAACCCTAGTCACTAGAAAACGCCTTAAATCATCAGGCGCTTTTGGAGTGTAGTGTAATACTGATTGGTTTTTGTAAAACACCTTACTCAGGTTTTTACCATTTGCTCTAAACGAAATAAGACGTATTTCGAATGCTACACATTTGGGCCACCACAAAAATATAGGAAATGATGGATGGGAGCCAAAAAGATGTAATAGGTCATCAAATCATATCGCAAAAATTGAAAGTAAGTTCACATCACTGGCAAAAGTCTCAGTTACGTTTTCTCTTGGATGCTAAAAGAATACATTTATTGTAGATGCACACATCTGCTGGATATTCTCCATCTACATCGTTAAAAGTGCACGAAAGGCGTTTTAAAAATTGACAAGTGTAATCCTAAGGCGCTTTAGAACTGTAGGTGTAATCAGGATGGCGATTTTGTAAAGCGCTTTCCACTAAACCGTTTTTTCTGGTGTAAATCAGCAAGTTACAATATAGTTGTTTTATATATTTTCATTGTGAATGATATGGGCTTTTTGAGTTGATAATTTTTTCCGTTTATTCTTTTGAACAAAATATTGTAAAAACATTAATTTATTTTATTGAGTTTTGATCACATTTGATTTATTTGACAAATTAAACATATAAAACAAAAGCATTCTACATTAGCGTATAATAGTGATAACATAAGCATAATCTACACAAGCAAGTAGGAAAACCATTTAGAGTCCCTTCTACATGTGCTTGTCTTATTTTACTGTCCTAAAATATTAAATATTACAATTGCTGTAATTTAAAACATTAACGGCAAACGTCTAATAAAATGTATGCTGTAGTTAAGGAAATTATAAAGGAAGGGAAATGGGTAACAATTCTGTCCAAAATTTTTATAATTGAAACTTTTTAGTATATTTAAACCAATAAAATAGAATATTTAAATGATACAAAATCTGATTGATGTAAGCTATCTTTAGACCAATGAGATGTCAAATGTTATTCCAATATTGAAATTATATTATATTTGAGCATCTGAATTCTATCAGGACATTGCATCCAGTGTATTCAGTTATTTCTATCTTATAAAATTACTCTTCCTTCAGTGCTAAGTATAAACACAACTCCTAGATATTTGCATATACATTATGAAACTACGAGGACTGATCAATAACTTTGCATAATGCTTGGAATCATTTGTTGAAGTATATATTTAAACAGGGTGTCAAATAAATATGTTCTCTCCTCCTTAACTTTAACATCCATACAATGTTGCATAACTTTTTTTTCTCTACATGATATCTGCCTTGTTCTTTAGAACATCAAAACTAGGCTTTACGGAGCAACTCCACAAGAATTTTCAGATGACTAGCTCAACTAGATGCATTTTATGCACAAAACTTCATTCTCTTGAAATTAAAGGGGAGAACATATTTATTTGACACCCTGTATATGTTTGTTCTTTGAAAATAACAATAACAAACAAAGACAAATATGAATTTTTGACAAGATGTCAGAACCAGCATAAAACATATTGATCATCCCTCATATGTTCTCAGTTATGGGTTCACCTATAAAATGCATTGAAATTGTCCCTCCAGTTGGTCGAGATGTAGTATGTGAGATCATAGATTATCTTCAAAATAGAAGATAACTTGCTGCTTTTAGAATGTGGAATGTAAAAGATATTAGATTTCAACTTGAATTTATACAGCAGTTTTTAGAACATGATTGCAATTTTGAAGTTGATATTCTAATGGTCACTTTGTCTGATATCAAAGTCTCTGCTCCCCCCACATTGTTAAATTGTCAAAGCTTTTTTTTCTTGAATTCCCATGGTCAAAGGAGGTGAAATGTTTGAGGAAGAGGGAGGGGGGCAGCAACTTGTTAAAAGAATTATGGCCACTGTGTTACTTATTGCACCCTATCAGTTTCATTAAGTCATTTAAAATTGAATGTTAACATGAAAGACATGAACAAGAAAACCTACAAGGAGTAAACACCTATGACTGGCCAGCTCAAAGTTTTCACGTTGAAGGTTCAGATAACACTGGAACCATGGGTAGTCCAAAATACTGGACATGCAATCTTTACATTTTCAAAGTGTTCTATGTCTGTAGTGAGTTGTTTCCCTTTTGCAGGTTTCACTGTATTATACCCAAAATATATATAATAATCAAAATATAGAGGAACATGTATTCAAAATACTGACCTCGCTGGATGTTATTGAAAATTACAAGAAAATACACAACCTCAATCTTCAAGGTATAATACAGTCTATAGGAGTTATCAAAAGTAGCTAAATATATATTCCAATACAATAGTCTATGTATAATAATCACAACCATATTTGTGGCTTATAAATCATTAAATATGAACACATATTTCGAAAATAATTGTACTTGGTCCCTCTGCCAGCTGGAATGTGACATCATACTCTACAGTTAAAGCTCTGTCAAAGCTTCCTGATACACATAATATATACAGTATATACTGCACATGTACATACATAATCCTTGTATGTTGCCCTGATGGTTGTATTGGAAAATTTTTATAATCACATAGAGAGTATTTGGTGGAGAAGGTAATGAATATCCAAACATTTTGTCCGAGAACCTATTGTAATACTCATATTGTAGTGTCACTTTTCCCCACTCATTTTCTAAGATAAGTGACATTGGGGTGAAATATTCCTTTAAATAAATTTCGAGAGAAATAGGGTCATTACTACCTTCTTTCAGCTACAACACCATCAGCTTCTTCATACAAAAATATATCACATAAAATTACCATACACATATTATTGAAACTCTAATATATATAGCTTCAGGCATCTGTGAAATCATTTGTATTCAGAGGTTATATGAAGTACACACATAGAATTTGAAAATATTCTGAATAGTAGGTATGTATGAATAATGTACAATCACAACATAAAAAAGCTTCATATTTATGAGCATACACAAATAAACCTCCACCATGGCAATATATACATTACATTTTGGCAATTTTTTCTTAATTTAAAAACATGATGAAATACTGATCACTGACTTGTTCCACACTCGCCTTAAATCTCCTTCCATAAACAGAAATTAAAAAAACTTTTCTTCTGAACTTTTTAGAAAATATTTGTATGCATGAATGTTATATGCATATTGCAATATTTCAATAATTAGATTTGATTATTAGCTCTTACACTACAGTTGTAATACTGTTCCTGTTTGTTGGAAATTTGAATCGTCCAGAATTGTCATTTGGATGACGTGTATATTCTATCGAGTCTTGCATATTGTTAGGACTATCTGTCCCTGAATCCTTTGACTCCTGTGTAGATACTAATCTTGGTTTCTCAGAGATACCAGGCATTGTTGCACTATCTCTGTTATTATCAATGTCTGAGTGGTGCCCAGAGTCCCGATGCTTTGGCGGGTATCCTGAAACAGGGGGAGGGGTTGTCCTAGGGGATCTTCCGCCAAAATCTGGTCTCCCATAACCCCGTGAATTGGGGTTCGCTATGGCCTCATTGTGATATTGTCGCATCATTGGTGTACGACATTGCCCATTGTTGGCATTAATGTCTGTTTGCCGTTGGTTGTCTGTAGGTGACACAGGCTGTTTGTCTTTAGGTGACACAGGAATGTTAGGAACATAGTAATTATTACTAGGTGAAGTAGGGGAGATAGGTGGGGATAGTACCTCCCCTGCGTTATTCACACCTTGAACCCTGTGCCCCTTGTAATCTGATGATGCATGCGGCACTGTGTACCTAGTTGGTGTCCTCATGAATGGCTGGGGCTCCAGGTCCTCGTGGCTCCTGCCAGGGTTTGACTGAGGCCTGTGCTTCGTTTTTTGCTTTTCGCTTGCATTTGGATGCGCAGGAGCAGATAACGCTCGTTGTTTCGTCCTCCCTCTGTTCATATCATTCCCCTCTTTGTCAACTCGAGCATGTTCATAGAGATGTCCCTTATTGGAGTAATAGTCATTCATTTGCTCATGTTCCGTAGGTAGAGGATATAGAGGGAGGCTAGGGTCATCCACTCCCTGCACTCCTTGTGGCATTGTTTCCTCAATATGTTCATGTATAATCCGAGCAGCATCTACTCTGCCACACTTTTGAAATATATTCATTAAAGATGTTAGCGATTGGATAGATGGTTCTGGGGATTTCTCAAGCTCCCAGAGACTTAGTAATTGGAATGTAGGACTATGGTAGGCACTATTCTGCTCCAGTAGATTGATATCATCCATTGTTAGATTCATCTCATCTGTTAGAACTCTCCAGTCAATACCTGTGTCTTGCTTATGGTCCATTAAACGACATATCTTTATACGAACTTCATATGGGAGAATACTTTCACGTAGACGTGCCACAGCCTCAGTTTCAATAGGCTTGTCCTGGGTTGGTATATTCTTGGTGTCGGACATAAATATCGTGCTAACTGTTGGTTTAGCTGCTGATGAAATCTGATTGGTTCTTACAATGCAACGGAATTTATCTTTACTTTCATCAGATGGTTCAAAATGAAATTCAATATAACTTTTGTTGTTCGTCCAAACACTGTTGAAGTCAATCTGAAAATAAAGGATAATGATCTTGAAGTATTCTTAATAATGTCCCTTTCATTTGGGTTTATATTACTTCAAAGCTTACGATATATTGATGAATAAAACCTAATGGGGACTTCCTCTTTACTAATACACATATTCTTATCTCACCACTCTTCGTTTCAGTATAAGAGAACTGAATAAGAAACAAAGAGAATGTTTTACCGATAACAAATAACTTGGTCACCATCCTGTGAAGAACCATGAATTTGGACTTACCAGGTCCCCATAATGGTCCTGTGGGTATGGGGTCCAACCAGGCATCAGTTTATCAACTGTTAGCTCTATGTCCCCTGCATCAGCATTCACCCTGATATCTTTAGCTGCTGTGCACATAACACCCCCTAGTTCTCTTTCCTCATGCAGGACAGCCTAGGGAATTTATTATTCATTTCTTAATGTAGGCATGTTAATAGGTTACCTTTTTTTACGTACAAGTCTATTGTTCTTTTCTCAATAATGGCTAAATGATTTATTAACTAAACAGTATTTAGAAAAGGATATTTGACAAGGACCTTTAACAACTTGTTTGAATGGCTCACTATGTTAGAAATCACCATAAAAATGGTACTTTTTCCTAATAGAAATATACAACTTTATTCATTACATGCCATTTTTGTGAAGAGAATCATGTATTCTCTATCTGCAAAATGATACTCAAAGAATGGTAACTAACCTGTCGTGTTGCCCTGTCTCTGTTGAAGATCCAGTACCTTAGCAACAGGTCATCTCCAGGGACCAATGGACTGGTGAAGTGCATGATTGCCATCTTCTTGACTCCACCCACTGCGACAGAAGTAAATCCAGTGAAGTGATCCATAAATAGCACCATCTTTTTCCCTCTTATAAGATTAAGAGATTTCTTGTCATCTTTCAAATCACTATAGACTGGTTGAGGGGCTTCTACTTCTCCCGTATATAAAGTGGTCACTTCACTTTTAGCAGGGTCGCTTATACAATGTGGATATGACAGCACCACACTTTGGTTGAATGTCAGTCCCTCAGGGCCACATACAACAACTGGACTGACTAAGGACTCTCCTGGTCTCAGGGGTGGCTCCTTTTTGGGGTCTAGATTTAAGTACATGTATATCTCTTGCTCTTCGTCCATGTTAATTGCACCTGCTGGTATATGCATTTTGATGTCCAGATGTGGCAAAACAAGATGGCCACCATTATGATTGAATATTCCACTGACATAGAAATCATGATTTTTCTGATTTGTTAGTCCATTACTGAGGGTTGTTTTGACTGGGGTCTTAGAATGACCAGGCTTATGATTCACAGCTTTAGCTTTATTGATGTCTCTGTTAAGTTTAGCAAGTGAAGGAGGATTGTGTGGTTTAGCTACTCTCTTCAGTGGTTGTTTTTGAGGATTCACTGAATTATCCAGTGTGTCTACTCCAGCATCATTTACAGGTGGTTTAGGAGTAAATTGGGGATTTACACTAGGATTATTTGAGGGTATGGGTTTTGCAAGAGACTGTAGGGGAGTAATCAGAGGCTGAGGCTGGGAAGTCTCTGGCTTCTTCATTGGCTGCTTTGGGGCAGTTTTTGGACTACCCTGATTCTCCTCACGCTCAAGATATGGAGGTGGTAGTGGTGTTATATCTGCTTGTATAGTTTGATCATAGTCCCTTGATTGCAATGGGACTCTTTCCATGTCTATATCCTCACTTGGTTGACTGGGACTTTGCCTCAAGTCAGGTTTAGTATATTTAGGCTGGAAATCGGGTCTGCTATGTTCTGGGCCACTGATGCGTGCTAGGGGTTGCTTGCGTGGTAGTGGTGTTTCTTGTAAAGGTACGCTTACATATGAGACATCTGGTTGGCTGTTGCTCTTGGTTACCTTCATAGCATCACTAGAACGTGAGTCTGAACATGACAGGAATGTACAGCATCCTGATATGTCTTCACAATTACAACACACATTGGCACGCTTCAGCACCTGCAAATATATACAAGGCATGATATTAAAATTTTGTAGCTTACCCTTTGAATAATAAACATGTACTGCATTAAAGGTTGTTCACCCCCTTCGACAGTTTGAAAAGAGGACAAATTTGTGACTGATCAAGATATTTGTATTTGTAGACTTTGCAGATTTTATTATGCTTTTACTTTTTGTTTCTCATTCAAACCCTTTCTGTTATCTTTTGCTGACAAAAAATGTTCTTGAAGTTAATTACTGAATAGGTGGTAATAAAAAATAATTTATATACACACACACACACCTTGCGTCTGTAGCAACAGAAGAAGTAGCACACGATGGTGATGGTGAGGACGACAAAGACACTGGTGACAATCCCAATGACCATGGTATCATTGCCAGGTTCAGGCACTGGAATGCAATCACTGAAGTCATCCTTCCTGTAAAAGTTGTTAGGGCAGCACTGCAAGTAAAAGAAATTTATGTCAGAGTTCCTGGCACGAATTGATTTAGGGTTGTTTAAGGGAACTTGCTATGATTTTTGTTGGTATTAAAAGCCAATGAAATAATTTATATATCTGGTCTTAGGTGTAAGTCAATTTTGTTCTTCTGATTGAAAATACTGAGTATAAGGATGAGAAATCTTTATAATACAGAATTTTTTTTATTAAAATAGTAACACATCTTTAATTTGCTAATAGATATATTAGTCACCCCTGCAGCATATGTTGCAAAGCATTCCCAGTCTAATTAAAATATGTCATATTTTTATTTCAATAATCCCCATATTAATTAAAATAATCCCTAAATCTCAATGATAATCAGTAATGATTAGTGTAAAACCTACAACTTAAATGAAACAAGGATAGTAGACAACAAAGGATTAAGGTAACATCAATTAATGTCAACATCTTTGAGCATCTTTAGTAGAGGATATTGGTAACTATGGTAACATTAATAAAATTAATGATGTCTATTTTGTGATATTAAATCAATTTACTGTCTCAATCATTTTGCAAAAGAAACATGCTATAGTATGACAATTACAATGTCAAAGTACCATCTGATTACCCTCATCATGGGCATTCAATATATTGAACGCCCATGCCCTCATTGAACCAAAATCATAACAATTGCATAGTTAGTAGAAATAGAAGAGCTATGAAGATAACTTAGGAATGGTGCCCAAATGTTTACAGATGTGGAAAACAAAGTTAATTGTGTAGTGGTTTAATAAGTTTAATATAAATAGATTGAAGTAGTCCTGAATTTCACATAAAGATTGTTTTTCACCAAAGAAATAAACCTTCATCCACAACTGCTGATATTAGACACCATCCTTTAGGACAAAAGCAAACCAAGGTGACACGCAGGTTATTGTCATGTGACATGCAGTATATTGTCATGTGACATGCAATTTATAGTCATGCTTTTATGATTTGTTGTTATGCCATGACAGCATCCAGGCAATTTAATTAACCAGATCTTAAGTTATCTTCATAGAAGTTTTATCTGTCCTCCACATTGGGAAATCAAATATTAGTATCCAGGGGTCTATTTTGATGCAATCATAGCCTGTGATTTTTGTAAGATAATTGTAAATTCAGCTTAACATATGATAATAAAAAGCCACCTGTAAGGTTTGATAATTCCATTATAGACTTCAGGTATTAACTATAAGTTCAAAGAATTCAAGTGTTTAAGATAGGGACTTATGGGATTATTGTAGACCCTCCTCTGCTAGCATCATGCTTGAAGAGTAGTTGCTATAGCAACATACAATACATACCACCATGCATGTTTAACACCTCTTATCTCCACTAACTGTTGATCAGGAGGACATGTGAATTCATATCCACTGTCAAAGCCCTAGTAAAGTATGATATTAGATAAGTGTAAAATGTGAACATCAATGTAAATACCATACGAGTGGGAAGTGTATGAATTAGCAACATATACCTAGATTACTATATATGCCTATTGTATGTGGTATAGCATTCAAGCGTTTAGAATAGGACTTGTATAGTAGTAGGATTGTTGTAGCTCTATTGCTGGTCCCATGCTTGAGAAAATTCAAAATGTCAACATCTATGTAAATACCATACTAGTGAGAAGTGTATGAGTTGGGAATCTATATGTGTATCTATGTTATGATATATGCCAATGAGGCAATAGTATGTGGTAAAGCAATGAAAACTTGAATCAAATTTTGTAAGAAGGCACTAGTTAGATGACCCATTCATAAAGTGTTTCAAAATAATGATGATAAGCTTGTAGTTCAAGCGAAGTTATCATTTGATTCGAGAGCTCACTAAAAAATCTGACGCATTAATGAACAATTAAAGATTAATAAACAATTAAACAACAAACAAACAAACAAGTAAGTTGTATATGGAGAAATAAATATAGATAAAGGCTTAAGTTATATCAATGATATATTTGTAATGAGAGACAATGAAACCACACAACATATAATTTCATATCAATATTACTATGCCCATGATCTAAATAAAGTTTTGTTACTATGGTAACGCTACCTTGCGTGGTGGGGATCTATCAGTCTGTAACAGATTTATAAACACAATGGGTTAGAAATGCAGGGTTTTGTCAAGGTATTATCATTGGGAATATGGTTCAATTGTGGAAGACGATCATGGTTGGAAAATGGTCACCTTGGCATCGACTTCACTTCAACATGATAAAGCTAATTATTCCGTCTTGCTAAGCCCTGTGCCTACCCCCCCCCCCCCGCCTCCCGAAACATCCCCGAAGTAGATTGGAGGGGGGATGTCAAGAGCCTTAATATAAGACTACACTAGGATTTTAACTTCGCTTCAACATATGAACATATAGATAAAGCTAGCTTTTGAACTTTGTGATATAAATACATATACATGTATGTACAGTACATTTGAAAAGTGCATATGAGTTGTAACTCGTCTATGTGATCATTTTGTAAGTTGTGTACAACTATAAACTGGATGATTCAGATGTACATGTCTCAATCGATATATTTTAAAAGATATTCATGACTAAAATTGGTTCCGATATTGGCAATAAATTGTTTAAGTGTTGGTCTTAGATATTTGCTAAATATATTAAACCCTTGATTTAACTGGCAATTTAGTTTATATATTGAGCTCAACCTCATTTGAATAAAAAGTACTGCTTAACTTTAGAATATCTAGGTCAGGATATAGGTGGGCTGAGAGGGCTCTCACCTCCCCCCCCCCCCCTAGCCAAAAATTCTTTCAAAATCATGTGGTTTTTCACCATTTTTAGCCATATTTGGGCCAAAATTGTCAAATGTGAACCACCCCCTGGAAATTTTTGAAAACTGAACCCCCCCTTGGGAAATCCTGGCTTCGGGCCTGGCTCTCCTTCAGGAGACAATGGGATATGGTTGGTGTGGCAACTAACTGTTGCATCACAATGGCCTCCCCAAACTAACCAATCAAGTAAATAGAGATGTTTTACATGTAAGGTTTATGGGGAGTATTTTAAGGTGATATGTGCCTAGTAGATGGGTTTTGTCATTAAAATATTTATTTAGAATAGATGTGACTGCACCATTGCCTCGAGATAAATGAACTCTATACATTTTAATGGCCTGGGTTTCTTTTATTAGAATATTTGTTTCAAAACAAAATAGGTTACCATGTAATAAAGTAACTTTATAGGTGGGAACCGTTGATAGGTTAGGTTACCTAAGACCAATGTTGAGTGAATGATAAAATCGATAATTTCTGTTCAAATGGATGTTCCTTTTGAGTGCTTTTAAATAAACACCTGTAGAGAAGGATTTGAGAAAGAGATTGTTTTGCATCGAAATTGCCTATGTTATTCATACAAAGTAACAACAACTAAAACAATTGTATTTAAACATTGTTAGACCTACTTTACGTTGATGTAGAATAGTAAATGCTAACATAGTGGTATATCAGTGATTATGGGCATGAGAATGACATGACATCAGAATGACATGACATCAGAGGTCTTCCTTTCAAATACTCATATTTATGTATTAGAAATCGATCGATAATCATATTGTGATTGCGATTAGATTACATACAACATACAAAAATCTTGTGAATCTATGTGAAGCCATCGTTAGAGATTACATCCCTTCTATCAGTTTTTTTACATTTTACTGTATATGAAGCCGTTTGCAAGTCTGGGTTCGTGACTTTCATAAAGATGGAGAAGAAACAGTTTTACTTACTGCATTGCTCGCCATGTTGTCTTTCAGGTCACACACCTTTTAATATTTCGCCCAATTTCCTAGCAATATCTGAAAGCAACAAAACATTTTCATTTTAAAATTCATGTTAATCATAAATCTGTCACTGTAGTTGAATTTGAAAATGGCCACCTTGTAAAGCAAATGTGTTGAAATAGCCATTATAGAAATCAAACATGTTTATCAAAATAGTCATTTTATTAATGAAATGTTTTAATCAAAATAAAGAAAACATGACAATCAAAATGGCCATCTCTCAAACCAAATTTGTTCATCAAAATGGCTATCTTGTAAAAAAGATATGTTGATCAAAATGAACACCATTCTTATTAAGTAAACATGTTAACGCTGATTCTCTTGTATACATACACGTAGTAGTGTATAATGATAAAGCCTATACCAGGTGCAGACTGCAGACTGGATCAATAATTAAGTTAATGTCATGTAAAGATGTACCTATTGACTGTCATATAATATATATTCATATATAACATACACCTACTGTCTAATTATTTTTTAACACCTGAACCCTCTTCAAGAAAGTCAGTACAACATGGGGATAGAATTACCCTTTTACATAATTCTATTTAGTTTTTCTTTGATTTATCTTTGAATTAGGTCAATCAGATTTGCAATCAGAAATGGAGTACCTTCAGAAGTAGTTCACATTTATTTCATGTTCATACTCTCATGAGATTTTTTTGTGGTTATCAAGGTCCTATCAGTATCAACAAATGTTAAATTGTCTAACATAGTTAGAGGGTAGGTAATGGTACTAACCTCTGTGTATTAGGGTAGGATCTACCTGATGTATTTGAGTTCAGACTTTTATGATTATACTCTAAAATTCATTCCCATGTTGAAGTCATTGTTAAATCATTCGCTATATTCATTTGCATTGAAAGGCATATCTTAAAATGTATGTTTAAATGATTGTAAAAAGGTTTTAGTTTAGTTATCTCCTTTGAAATTCACTTCGCTGTTGAGGTCATGATTTTATTCAGTGATGAAATATCTCATAACCACAATAGTTTTCTACAAATCATATAAAAAACACTCAGTGGATGTGGCTTTCAATTGTGGTATCACATTGTCTCAGGTAAATATGCCGGAGGATGATGGGAAAAAGGGTATATGCTGATACATCTGATTGCATATAACATTTTTTATCAATATACATTACTAAGCAACACTCATTTTGTCGCCTTTGGTATTGTTACCACCTGTGTATGGTATATATTGTTATTGGTTTTGTAAGGTAGCTGTAAATTGTGCAGTCTGACATTTATTGAAAATAACATAAGAGGTATGATATGAAAGTACAATATGTTGCAATTTAAACTCAGTGATACAGTATGGTACCTAGCTTATCAATAGCTTGTAGGATTGTATGAATCAAATTATTTGAATCATGTTTGTGATCATAGCACATCTAAAATTTAATGTAGAAGTATTAATAGTACTATTTATAACTTAAATGCAACAACACCTCTAAAAGACACTATGTGAACGAAAAATATGAAATTTAACAAATGGGAACATCTTTCTCACCTTTGTAATATGAACACCTCTCTAATGTAAACACCTTTGTAATATGAACACCTCTCTAATGTAAACACCTTTGTAATATGAAAACCTCTCTAATGTTAATACCTTTGAAATATGAACACCTCTCTAATGTAAACACCTTTATAATATGAACAACTCTCTAATGTAAACACCTTTGTAATATAAACACCCCTCTAATGTAAACACCTTTGTAATATGAGCATCCACAATATCTCTCTTTTTTATATAAACCTATTTCTCACTTTAATGCCTAGATCGTATGAGAACACCTTTCTTCAATGAACACCTCTCAATATATTTCACCAACTCATCATAATGTATTGGCAAAGCTTATTGATGAATTGTTGTGAATATGTTGTCATATTATTTCTCACCTGCTACTTGCCTCTTTATCTGAACCATATGATGTCTTAATATTATGCATTCTACATGATAACAGTATACTGAACATGACTGAAACAGTAAATTACAGCTAATTATATGGTGCTCTGAAAAGATATTTGTCTTAAATGTCATTGTTTAATGTTTATGTATAATAAAGGTGGATGAAATACCATAATTATGGCCATGTATTGTCTTACCTGGCACCTTATGTGGCACAATGTCTTATGTAATGCATTATGTGGTACATTATTTGCTTATATGGTACATTCACTTATTTGGTACCTTCGCTTATGTGGTACATTAGCTTTTGTGGTATATTGTCTAATGAGGTACATTGTTTTACCTGGTACATTTTCATTATTTTTATTTTTTATTTTACAGTCTTGTCTAATGCATTACCTAAAGCATTTTTTCCGGGTTTTATATAGAAAATGGTTGAAAAAGTATGAAACATTTATAAGATAAAATGAATGTTTTTAAATAGCTTTTGTGGCATATTGTCTAATGAGGTACATTGTTTTACCTGGTACATTTTCATTATTTTTATTTTTTATTTTACAGTCTTGTCTAATGCATTACCTAAAGCATTTTCCGGGTTTTATATAGAAAATGGTTGAAAAAGTATGAAACATTTATAAGATAAAATGAATGTTTTTAAAAATGATCAATTTACAGTTTTCATCTACTCTAATGTTGAATTTCTTTTTATTTCGGATACATTTATTAAATTCATAAATGACATTCATTACTGGTTTCCTATTTGTTAATTAATTAATTTGTACTTTGGCCTACTACTTTGTATATCTGTTTGTCAATCAAATTAGACCTTGTCAGTTGTGTTATATTGAAGGTGAAGTGCTTGGTTAATATGCTTACTGATTGAATAAGTATGTCATAATTATCTTCATGACCTTTCATTGATTGGATAAATTAATTATCTAATATGAACTTATTACATCTGATTAATTTACTTACTGATAAAAGATGACTGGACATCTATATATGTGTATTACACAATCACATTTCTATGCATGGTAGTAGTTATGCATTGATGTTTGTCCATTCCTAATGTTTGTGTCTGAAGTAGATGAAACTTTAATGAAACTCTTGAAAAGGGTTACAATATCTATTTTTCTCAGCTATGAGAGAGAATTCAGGAGTAGAGGGGGGATGGTAGTAGACTGAGACGGGGGGGGGGGGGGGGTTGGTAGTATACTTGGACTTGGGGGAGGGGGTGGTAGTAGACTGGGACTAGGGAGGTGGTAGTAGACTGGGGGAGGGGGGGGGGGGGGTAGTAGACTGGGGGAGGGGGGAAGTGGACTGGGACTTGTTGCAAGACTTGCAACCAGGCTTTAGAATGTGGTTGAGTATTGGTAGAGTATTAAAAAGATTATAATAGATTCTTTGAAATTTTGTGATTTATTGTGCTGCTGTTCCTATTAATCATAAATTGTTTATTTTGCAAATGGTAAATGTAGGCATATTTAAATTGTCAGTATGACCTCATAGGTTTTATTGTTGAAGTTTAATATATGTGCTGTGTGGAAATATTGATTCTTAGGATAAATGGATTAGTATTTAATCATACTATATCAGTTAATATGGTTAACGTTAGCTTACCTGTGTGCATGTACATGTATATGTACATGTATTTCTTACCTCATTTAATTGAGTTAAAATATGTTTGGTGCTTGGGTGAAAACTTTAATAATATCCATATTTAGAAGTTGAATATCAAAATGGACATTTACATGCAATGAAGGACTTGTTATTCTCAGTTAAACATCTTACATCCACATGTACATTCATACTGTACATGTACATTAAACGTGTACATATGTATACTGTACATTTATATTTAGAAAATGCAAACCTTATAGTAAACTATTTTTTGTATCTGACCCATTGAACATTTTCACTGTTATTGTTCTCAATGAAAAAAAACATGATCAACGGGAGCTGGTATACATGCTTTAAATTACTTAAAAAACTTTAAATGCTCACCTGCCGTGCATACAGATGTTTTTTAAAATTTGCATATTCAGCCCAAGGTTTTTGCATTAATTCAAGTGTTTTAAATGATGTTGATTTGAGACACAGCAAAATAGATAACTTTTTTCAAAAAGTTTCATAAATACCACCTGTAAATATGTGCCATGTTGTATGAGTCATCATTATTAATAGATAAGCAATACAGTATAGTTTCTCCTTATGTGTTATAATGGGATTTCACTCACCTGTATAAGTATCCACTGGTCAACATTGTTGCCTATTTCTCTACATTCCTGTGGTTTTTAACTCAACTTTATGACAGATTATCCATCCTAATGGAATTGTTGATTTTAAGGTGATTTTCTACCTGTTAACACCACTGTACCAACTTCCTGGTTTGCTCCCTATACCTGTATACAGGTCTTATTGATTAATAAACTAATACATAAACAGGTCTCTATTAATAAGTTATTGGTGTTCGTGATTTCGCTGTTTACATTAACTATTACTGCATAGAAATGTGCTATTTTTAAAAGCTGTATTTTAAGTGGTCAAATATGTAAAACTAACATCTGTTTTACAACATAATTATTTCATGATGACCTCCCAACTATTATTAATAAAGGGTGACCGGAAAAAAAGGAGACCATTGAAGTAATCAATTTCTCCTAAACTAGACAAGTGCCATCAATGAAATTTTGCATACACTGGAACAGTTATATGGAAATTTGTTACTGAAGGTTTCAATACAAGCATTCAACTGGTTCAGGAGCTATGATCATTTACATAACATGCTCCAAATAGGCACAATTGAGACCAACGCAGAGTTGGATTCATATGGCAAACTACCCTTACATGTTCTGCCCTCTATGGCATTATTATGGCATTACATATAGCAGTGATTGCCTTCTTTAGGTCAACAATAGTCTGAGGATTGTTTTGGTATAGATTGTCTTTCAAATATCCATACAAAAAGAAATCAGCAGGATTCAAGTCTAGGCTGTAATGGCAATGAAGGGTTATCTGACATGTGGTTCATCATCCTGTTGCCAAAGTGCTGATTTACCCAATCTTAAGAGTCACTTTAGGTATTGGGCATAGTGCCATGTTACTAAAACCACTATATGGCACAATTAAATCCCATATGGAAACCAAGGGCTGCCCAAAACCTCCTTAGGATGATACTGTAACTGAGTGGGACCACTGAGTCAGAAGCCATAGGTCAGATAAGCTTCATCTCCATACACCTCAAATTTGAATCCACCTGATTTCTTTTTGTGGGGCAATTTGAAAGACAATGTGTACCAAAACAATCCTGAGACAATTGCTGACCTAAAGGTGGCAATAAATGCTAAATGTAATGCCATAACAAGGTCGGAATATGTAAGGGTATTTGCCAAATGTATCCAGCTCTGCGTTGGTCTCAATTGCGCCTATTTGGAGCATGTTATGTAAATGATCATAGCTCCTGAACCAGTTGACTGCTTGTATTGACACTTTCAGGAACAAATTTCCATAGAACTGTCCTGATGTATGCAAAATTTCATTGATGTCACTAGTCTATTTTAGGAGATATTGCCTATTTCAATGGTCTCCTTTTTTTCCGGTCACCCTGTACCTGGTGATGAGAGGTTAAACTTTCAAAGTATTTAACTACATCAGAGGTGAGGCGACCATCTCAGCTTCAATAAATATGAGGACATTAAAAACATAATAGAACTTATTATATATTTGTAGAGTGATTCTCTGAGTCCTTTGAAGTCTAGTTCATGATCAACCAACACCATAGCAAACACATTGTCTTGTTATGCTGTTTTCATCACCAGATAGCTCTATTTGTTTAAGAATCAATAATTGGAAGGTTATCAAAAAGATAAGGTTTGTTACTTTAGCAACTGATCAAACAAAGCAATACACCACATGTGGCTCAGGTGGTAGAGTATTCAAATGTTTAAGAAATACAAAGATGAAATTATAAGAAGTAATAGAGTTGTCTTTAGGAACAAACTATAATGAAATTTAGCCAAATGACTCTCATGGAGTTTTGGGCTAGGAAGTTTTAGATACATTATCCTGATGGGATAAACATTGTATCTTAGATTAATAGACGAGATGCGAGTAGAAATGATTTTGATTTACGACATTAAATATTCAAAATTCTGTCAAAGTGATGTCATATGTGACTTCGAGTTCGGGTTGATTCTCCATAGACCCCATATTACAAAATCACAAAAAGTGAAAAATCTTTTCTTGTATTGGACATATAACATTTTCTTTTACTGGATATACTTTAATTTGCATAACTATTCGATACATAAGGACTATATTAAAATTGAACCACTAAAACCTATGTAATTCAAGTTAAAGGGAACTTTCTACCATACCCGCCATGCTATCTGACCCGAGCGAGCCACCTGGTGGTGAAACTGGTAACTACCTACTCGCATTTGCGTTATTGTAAAAATGAGTATTCCATACCTATCTCTCACTTGGACCCTCCTCAGTTAAATCATAATTACCTCTCTGGGATTAATGTTAACTGCTAGGCGAATCAATTATTAAAAATGAATTACATTTTGTCCAGTTATATCACGCAGTACTAACTTCGACCGTTAATTTGAATTTTTGACCTACCAGATGCTCGAAAATCAAAGATTGCGAGTCTCATACTGCACCGTTTTTCTTCAAACTTATACCATTAAAAGCAAAACAAAGTTGCCTTTCTGTTGGTGCATTACTTGTAAAGAATCCCTCGTTCTAGCAGCGTTTTGGTCCCCAGCTGTTAGAAGGCCTTCCTAAAGCTGGAGACCAAAACGCCGCTGGAAGTAGGGACTCTGTTTAAGAGAACAATGTACCAATGGAAAGGAATTTTTGTTATGCTTTGAATGGAGCAAGTTTGAAGAAAATGGTGCAGTATGAGACTCGTAATCCTTGATTTTCAAACATCCGGGAGGTCAAAAATTCAAATTAGGGGTCGAAGTTAGTACCGCGTGTATATATTAGATCTAGAATTACTCCAGTAAAAACACGAAAAATAAATGAAAAAATTGCAACACTTATTAAACCTAGTGCAACAAATGCATATTGGTGAGTTTAAAGACATATCAAAAATCTAGAAAAATCTAAGTAGTGGAAGACATGTAAAAATCACTATTTGTACCCCCTGGTCTTATTTTATGAGGGGGTACTGTGATAAGCATTTATATCTTCTGTTGGGTGCCTCCAATCACATTCAAATTTTCAGGGATTATGCATCCATATATAGTTAGTTGTCATGAAAAGACTGATCTTGATTGGTCAATTGGTTACCATGGCAACATAACTTAATTGCAAAATATTGTAAATATTAAGGATAAATCTACCGTTTCCCTACAAAAAGATCGTAGTTTGTCATTTTTATTTTTTCAAAATGAACACAAAGTTGAGCGTAATACATATTGAAGGAGTTTACAACAAGTTAACATGATAAATAGGTTAATAGGATGACATATTTGGCTCATGTTTGGTAACTACTGCTCAATTTACCACAAAGTGGCCGTGGCACTTTTTGTTATTACAATTCCAAATAATTTCATGTTGACAGAATCATATTTACAAGGGTCATTAATACATATGTAATTATCTGGAATGGTGAGTCCAAATATATTTTGTCAATTGGTTGCCATAGTAACACAACATATTGTATGTGAATCGTGGGTAGAGGTCATTTCAGGCAATTCTTGTTTATCTTAATTGTTTATTACATTCATCCTTAAGAACTGTTTTAGTGTATGATCTTTTTTAATTAACAAATACAGGTTTGGATAATATTGATATGCGTTTGCTATGGTAACACAACTAATAATGCTGTTTCTTGAAATACTACTCTGTTTGTTCGTCTACCCGCCCATCTGTCTAAGCATTTCCTGACCTATTAATTAATCACAGATTGGTGTTATATGTGACAAAATGGTGATTCTTGACATCATAGACTCATGAAGATTTACCAACTTAGACCCTGTACCCTGCATCAATCTTAGATTATGGATATTCTACCCATTGTAGACTTTGGGGGATGTACCCATTAAACACTAGAGTCTACAACCTCTAAGACTCTAGAGGCTGTACCATCTTATATCTATTTATTAATCACATATTGATGTTATATGTGGCAAAATTGTGATTGTTGACATCTTAGACTCTAGAAGATTTATCAACTTAGACTATATAGGCTGTATCAGTCCTAGATTATGGATGCTGTACCCATTGTAGACTCTGGATGATGTACCCATTAAACACTAGAAGCTCTGTATGCTATACCCATTGTAGACTCTTGGAGGCTGTACCCATTGTTAACTCTGCATCTGGAAGGTGTACTATCTTCTCTCGAAGGCTGTTCCAAGAACTCATCAAAGGTTCTGGAGGCTATACCATTAAAGACTCTGGAGGCTATATCATCCTAGTCTCTAGGAGGCTGTATCCATTGTAGACTATGAGGGTATATCATCCTAGGCTCTTGGAGGCTATACCATCTCAGACTCTTGTAGGTTGTACTATCTTAGACTCTTGGAGGCTTAGAATCTGGAAACTGGTCCTATGTTATATCGAGAGGCTGTACCATCTAAGGGTTGGAGGCTGTACTTATCATAGGCTCTGAATGCTATAGCAATCAAATGATCTGAAGGATCTACCATCTTGGACTCTGGAGACTGAACCCATGTTATATCTGGAAACTGTACCATCTTAGACTCGTGAAAACTGTGCCTATCTTAGCCTCTGGATGCTATAGCAATCATAGCCTCTGAAGCTGTATCATCTTAGACTCTGGAGACTGATTCCATGTTATATCTGGAGGCTGTACCATCTTAGACTCATGGAGGCTGTACCATCTTAGACTCATGGAGGCTGTACCCATCCTAGGCTCTGAATGCTATAGCAATCATAGCCTCTGAAAGCTGTGCCATCTTATACTCTGGAGACTGATCCCATGTTATATCTGGAGGCTGTACCATCTAAGGGTCTGGAGGCTATACCATCTTAGACTTATGGAGGCTGTACTGATTCTAGGCTCTGACTACTATAGCAATCTTAGATTCTGAATGTTATATCATCTTGGACTCTGGATGCTGAATACATATACTACTTGAGGCTGTATAATTTTAGATTCTTGAGACTGCACTAATTTTATACTCTTGAGGCTGTACCATCTATATACTCTGGTCTGGAGGCTGAACCAACTTAGGCTCTTCTGAACTATTCTATAGGCTCAGGTTCTACCATATTAGGCTATTGGATGATATGTTCTGGTATTGAAGCGCACCATATACGCTGGGGGTTGAATCATATTTTATGTTATGAGATAAGTTTTTTCAGAACATATGCACTACACTATCACGGGGTACCATCGAATAATTTTGGCAACGTACCG